TATGTAGGCTACCTAATCGTATGTCCATCCCTATATGTAGGCTACCTAATCGTATGTCCATCCCTGTATGTAGGCTACCTTATCGTATGTCCATCCCTATATGTAGGCTACCTAATCGTATGTCCATCCCTATATGTAGGCTACCTAATCGTATTTCCATCCCTATATATAGGCTACCTAATCTTATGCATATTTTATATACAGTGAAAAATACATTTTTGAGTAGTTTCGTAAATTCGTGGTCAGTAACAGAGCAGAATATTTACAGCTAAGACTAGTTGAATGTTATGCATTATTCAACATAAAATAACAATAGAATAACAATCGAAATTGTTTGGTGGGGGGGGGGATATTTTGCACATTATGACATATAACATTAGTCCTAGTATCTATATATTTGTATAAAAATACAAGAATCAAAATTATTTATGATGCAAAAAGTAGATTGTATAAAGCTGTTTTTGTAGATCTTGCTTGTTAATTGTCAAGATGTTGTTAAACCTGATGCACTCCCCTTTGTTGATACAATCCACCTTGTTGATGCTACTGGTCACAGTATACTGCATCAACAGTTCTGATGCATCACCGCAGATGGAGCTGGAGTCAGGTAGGATAAAAGATGCAATAATTTTTTTTTAACTAACTTTTGCACTATCACATATGTTTATAGATTTTACTGTTTATTTATGCTTTTGCTGCAACTCTCTTTCTGTCTTGACATCTATCGTACGCTATAACATTTGTGTACATAGGTCTAAGTTTGTACAACAGTCACTAAATGTTAAGAACATATCGTAAAATTGCAGCATGAAATTGTTCACTATTGTTTCAAGGCTGCAATTTGGTTTATTTTCGCATTTGCCGCAACTCTCTCTTAATCTCTCTATATCTGCCTAATTTTCTAGTTTTCTCGCCGGTACGGTACATACAAATTTATGTACATAGTTCGAAGGTTGTACAGTGGGTACAAAGTGTTAAAACCCTATCCTAACATTGCAGAACAAAGAGGGTCACAGCCGTAACTTTCTCTTTCTCTCTCTATTTTTTCGACAGTACTGTACAACCAAAGTTATGTACATAGGTCGAAGATTGTACAGTGGGTACAAAGTGTTAAANGAAGATCATGAACAGGAGCAGGAAGCGCAGGATGAACCGGACAATAAATATAAAGAATTTCAACAAGAACTCGAAAGTAAGTTGACATTTGTTGAACACATTTAATCGATTTTGATTCATATTATAAGATCTTGAAATGGATTTCTGAATCAATCATTTTTTTAAAATCGAAGCATATTAAATTCTAAAAGAGTGGCCAACTTTTCGAAAAAATAAGAAATCCTTTATAAGTAGGAGTATTTACGTGTGTCTTTTTAGTTAATCTAATAGAAAGATCTGCCCCCCCCCCTCCCCCCATCTGAATTAATGGGATATATTACCATGGTATAACCAGAAAACTGTGAAATGACGAAAGGCATTTTCTTTTTTCATTTGTTGAGAACTGTCATCTAAGGATTTGTAAATTGTTATTACTAACAATTGTTCAAAAATGATAAGCACGCACATTTTTTTAAATTAACATTAAGTTTCTGGTCAGGACTGCAGATATTGGAAATATCTAGATTTATATCATGATTTTATTATTTCAGGTCTTTTATCAATTCTGCCAGAAACCCCACGATCAAAAAGACAAAATGGTGGAACTGGAATTTTCAGGGACACTCATTGATGGTCTCCAATCTTTAGTTCTTTCTTACGTTGGCGTTCTTCTCTATTTAGTTTCATTCTAATTTGTAAACACTATTATACACTATTATACACTATTATACACTATTATACATTATTATACACTATTATACACTATTATACATTATTATACACTATTATACACTATTATACATTATTATACACTATTATACACTATTATACACTATTATACACTATTATACACTATTATACACTATTATACACTATTATACACTATTTCCGATTCACCTAGGTACCCTACTAACCTTTTTCACAGCAAAAATGAGGGAGTAATCTTTGTTTTGTTTTATTTAAAATTTGATCATCTTCAATTGTGGTTCTGTGTATAAAGTGACGCAAATGTTAAAATTTTTTTAATGTCAGATCAGAGGGCACTGTTGTGAATCGCTATTTCAAAGTACGTCAACAGTCAGAAACTTTTAATAATTTTAGAATATTTTTTGCCATTTATTTGTGTGTGATATTGTTTACCTATATTTACCATTGATTTGTCTGTGATATTGTTTACCTATATTTACCATTGATTTGTCTGTGAAATAGTTTACCTATATTTGCCATTGATTTGTCTGTGAAATAGTTTATCTTTTTTTACCATTGATTTGTCTGTGAAATAGTTTACCTATATTTACCATTGATTTGTCTGTGAAATAGTTTACCTCTATTTGATCTGCTCAGCCCCCCAACAAACAGAAACAGAAGAAAACCAGAGGAACAAGGTATTTAAATAAGCAAATAAAACAAAATTTAATAAATTGTAAAAAATTTAAATTTTGTTTTAATCACTTTGACAGTGAACAAGACAAGCTTCTATACTGTATTAAACTATACAATTTCTCCGTGAAGAGTGTAGAGGATAACACACAAAGAATGAGATTATCAGGTAACGACGACCTGAAATTCCTTGAATAGAAGGATTCATAAGGTTGAAGCAAATAAGAAGCATATATTCGAACAGAATCTAAAATGCTGTACAGCCGTCTCTGAAGTCTCATCCTTTGTGGGTAACTCTATATCTCGGCCAATAGATCACTTAGATTATTTGTCTCAATTTATTATTGTAAATTGTAATGATTAATATTGAATTTCACGGAAACCTTCTAGATAATCTGTGTAAATAATATTAACTGATTTTAGTTCAGTGGTCAGCATAAACATTTATCCATGCTGATATTAATACTGAGGCTGACATATATTTTAGTACAGTATCCAAGAGAGTCATAAATAGGAATAGGAAGATTCCATGTGTATTTGATGCTGTTAGAAGACTTAGATTAGATGTCTAAAAAAAACTTTTCAGGATTAAGAAAACCCAGAAGATTTCCATCTTCAAGCTCGTCTGTCCCGTCAATCAATTCTCCAGTCTCAACATTTCCGGATTTCAAACCAGGTATTTCCGGATTTTAAACCAGTTTTTTCCGGATTTTAAACTGCGCATTTTCCGGATTTCAAACCAGGTATTTTCGGATTTTAAACTAGGCGTTTTCCGGATTTTAAACTACGCATTTTCCGGATTTCAAACCAGGTATTTTCGGATTTTAAACTAGGCATTTTCCGGATTTTAAACCAGGTATTTCCGGATTTCAAACCAGGAATTCCAAATCTAATTCCAGACATTTCCGGATTTTAATCCATATATTTCCGGATTTTAAACCAGGTATTTACTATTGTTGACTAGGTTTTTTTTCGCATTCTAGATCAAATTTTTATATTTTTCATTGTAACTTTTATATTTATTAGTGTTTACTGTTTAGATATCATTAAGAAATTATCATAAAAAATCAAATAATTTAATCCATTATCTTTTAAATTTTAAATTTTAAAATTAATTTGCAACCTGATAGTGTTAACCTTTGATATTTCAACTAAAGATTAATCATTTTAACAGTATTCACGTCAAACTAATGTTAATTGTACAACGGAATGAAACCTTGTATGCTCTTGTCTAAGTTTTTAAAAAGAACAAAAATGTTTTAAATTTCTGATATGTAACCGGAGCTGGGAACTTTTGATGGTGGATTAATGCGTGATCGGAAAAATTTTGCTTATAGAATTAATACTAAAGGAGCTACGGAGTAAGAAATTCGGAGCAGCAATATCGCAAAAAATTTACATTTTCCTTCCGTCTAGTTGATACTGATAGTTTGTGGCAAAGGGTGATTTATTTTTCAAGATTTGTTGACATTATTTTTTGTGTTTTTAGATTTTGATTCAGCTGATTGTTCATCAAGTGGAATGAACTGGAATAATTTTCATTCATATGAAGTTCTTGACAGGTAACATATTATTCATGTTATGTTCAGAATAGGTAACAGAATCACATGATGCATATTCTTATTATGATCATAATAGGTAACAGATTATTAATATTTTGTTCTTAATAGGTAACAAATTATATATATCATGTTCTTGAAAATCTTAAATATGACATTTATTAGATGGATGGAATGCTTAGCTGTGAAATTTGGATCAAAAGTTGAATTGATCAAAATTGGACAGGTAATCAAAATTAAACTAAAAATGTAAATTAACAAAATCAGAAAAGATAAATTCATTAAAAATAGAAAAATGTTAAAACAAAAAAAATGCCAATTGCACAAAACGTCAGAAATCAAAAATGGAATTTTTTATTGATTTAAATATCTTTAAATCTCTAAAATGTTTCATCTTTTAAATTTTTTTGTAGTCCAGCGAAGGTCGAGTTTTAAAGGTTGCTCATGTAAAACTAGGGGGGAACAGCACCCAGTCTGTATTCGTAGACGGTGGAATGCATGCCAGGTATTCATTTAGAATCTTCGAAAAAGAAATATAATTATAATAAAGAAGCTTATTACTAAACTTTAAACTTTAATCTTGATTTCGCAGATCTTTAACTGGATAATCTTCACAGAAAAGACAGCATTATGTTTAAATTACGTTTATATTACATTTCCATTAGGAATTTTCACTAAGTAAGTAAGTAAGTAATCATTTATTTATGAAAAAAAAACATACAAAATTAAGTGTTTAAGGAGAAAATATTTGAAAACTTCCAAAAATAGAGGTTGTGGGAATATTTCCCCCCATTCTAAAAAAATATAAAAATTGAAATAAAAGGGAAAGGAAAGAAAAGGAAAGGAAAAGGAAAGTTACATATTTATTGTTTACATTATATTTAATATAATATAAACCAGTGGTGGATTGTTAGTATTTTTCGACGAAATAGAAATAAAAATAATAGAAATATTTGCAAAGTTTTACATAACGTTTAGATGACTTTTTAATACTTTGTTATGTTTCAGGGGACACAATTATACCTCTTGTACCTGGTTAAAATGAATTTAAAAAAATATTTTTTTAGAGAATGGGCTAGCCCAGCCTCAGTAAGCTTTATCCTGCACAAACTAGTAGAAACTTCAGAACTGGATCATCTCCTCAACAAATACGACATTTTCATCCTTCCACTTGCAAACCCAGATGGGTGAGATAAAGTATTTTATATCCGATTGTCACCACATTTTTTTCCTCCTTATGTCACAACTTAATTATCCTATTTTTTGAGTTGAGACAAAAAACATGGGTTTTAAATTTGGAACATTTTAATCGTCAGGACAGAAGTTCTTAAGACCACATTAATTTCAATCCTCATTCCTTAACCTTTGGCTGTAATTCTTGTAAACTGCTCTTGAGGTTTATATCACAAATTCAAATTCTGAATCTAAACCTGTCAATTGAAATCCTAGTGAATAGGGCACACTGTTTTACAGGGTGCATAAGTGTTAATTTTCTTTTTTGTTTTTAATAAAATACTCCAATATTTCAGGTATATGTACAGCAGAGATCATGACCGTATGTGGAGAAAAACTCGGTCCCGAACCGGTCAATCCAGTTTGTTCGGTCAAGAGTGTTTTGGAGTTGACCCAAACCGGAACTTTGGATATAGATGGGGAGGTCACGGGGCCAGTGATAATGCATGCAAGGTCAGCTAAATATTACGTTAAAGGGAGTGTTCGTGAAAAATGAAAGGGGGTGTAGGCTTAATGCGATAAAAAAGCGCTTTTGATCGCCACTAATCTTACTTCTATCTGTTGCGTCTATAAGGAGAAAATTGTTAAAGACGTCTCATACCGAATAACATGGCGTCCATACAAATTGAGAAAATTGCAACATACGACTTAGACCGTAAAAAATCAATTTATTTTCAAACAAATTTTCTCCTTATAGACGCAACAGATAGAAGTAAGATTAGTAGCGATCAAAAGCGCTTTTTTTTATCGCATTAAGCCTATACCCCCTTTCATTTTCGCGAACACTCCCTTTAAACTGAAGTGAATTGCACTTTACTGATTGAAGAGCTATTTGAGGAGCAATAATCAGATAAAGGAATTGAGTCTTTGCCACAAATTCAAACTTTATAATCCCTATATCTATGCAACCAGATGATGTAAACCTATGTATGATATTTCAAATTTAGATTATTCGATCTAACATAAATAGTAGTTTGAAATATCTAAGGTTTAGAACACTGGGTTGCAAAGATATAAGGATAAGAAAATTAGATTTTTTTGCAAAAACTCAATTCCTTTGCTTTGCTCATAATTGACCTGAAATCCTAACTAGTCTTGTCTAGGTTGCTGCAATTCTTTGTAGATTATAAGCTGATCATTAAAAATATATTTTACATAAATTCAACATATATCAAATCATGTAAGATAAACTTTTCTACCTTTAAACAACTATTTTGGGTTTGCAGGGCCAGGGTGTAATTATCACTTGTACAGTAAGGTAAATGTAAATTAAATTATTAAAATTTTGGCGTAAANCTTGTACTCTCACATAAAGGAAATCAGGAAAGGGTACAATAAATCTAACAAATTTAGAAATTCCCAAATCTTGATAAGACCTTCTGCCTCAAACAATAAATTGGTAATATCCTCCCGCCCAACTTCAAACGATAGATGGGAATATATTGAAACTTTGAGCTTCCCCCTAAACCCATCAGACATTACTAAATTTGGACAAAAAAGACAACCATGTAAATCTATCATAGAAGATGTCTCCTTTAACTTCCTTGATTCCAAAGAATATTATAAAGACATTCCTAGTAGTAATATTGACCCTTTGAGTAACTCATTCCAACCAGCAAAGAATGGTGTACCTTCGGTACCACAACCAGGAACACCTAGAGCTACTATCCTGTAGGCTAAAAACTGCCATATTTCTGTTCTTAATCATTTCGTAAACCATCAATATACTCAATTGAATGCAGAAACCAAAAATCAAGCTTCAAATGGGCATATGTTGGGTCGTCTTTACAGTCTCATCTTTTCTGGGTAACTCTTTGCTGATGCACAATTAAACTTTTTTTTAACCTGATTAGAAATATATTCTTCAATCTTTTTTTTCTATTTTTCTATTTCCCATCCAAATAGTTCTTTGTTTTAGCCAAAATGATGGAGTTATCTTAATCCCAATCTTAAAACTCATTATTTTTTTTTGCAGTTCTCAACAAAACTATGCAATAGGAGAGAAAATAACTAAAATAACATGCTTTTGTTTCAAACCTCTGATATTCTAACGTATATTTCATATTTTGGACTGCAAAGCTTAACATGGGTCTATTTCCACAGGTTGGCTCCCGGACTGCTGAAGTATTAGAAAATAAATATGGCTCTATCTATGAAGTTGGTTCTGCTGCTAAACTGCTGTATCCTGCCTCAGGTTTAAATTTTAGAATAATTCTTGAATAATATTTATTATTCAGTTTTTTGTTTTTTTAATCATCTGCAGCCTTATTTTCCTCCACTTCCTAATGTGGACTCAGTTTTGAGGTGACTGTTTGATTTATTATAGTTCTCTGGCGTCATTGTTTAGTTGATAAAATGGTCTCTTAAGTGGTTCTGGTGTCATTTTTTAGTTTATTATGTGTTCCCTAGATGGCACTGATGTCACTGTTTAGTTTAAAATGTGTTCCCTAGGTTGCTCTAATTTAACTGATAGTTTATAATATGTTCGCTAGGTGGCTCTGACGTCATTGTTTAGTTTATGACATAATCTTTGGGTGGCTCTGATTTCCTTGCTTTGTTTATTATAAGTTCGCTAGATGGCTCGACTGTCATTGTTAGTTTATAATTAGCTCCGCTAGGTGGCTCTAATGTCAATGTTTAGTTTATAATATGTTCCCTAGGTGGCTCTGATGACTTTGCAAAGGGTGGTGCCGGGATAAAATATAGTTTTACTGTAGAGCTTCCAGATACAGGCAAACATGCCTTTATCCTCCCTGCCAGGTAAACACTTGGTTGTATATAGAGATTACAGTTTTTATGTATGTTTTCACTTCTTTTTCAATTAAAAGCTAATCAAAAATCATTGCGGAACCACCCTAAATTTCCGAAATTTGTGAACGTGTTTTTCTTCTTAGGCACCGTAGACTTTATTTCCGTCCAAACTGTATATTTTACTTAAATTTTGAATAAAACAATGTAATGAGCATATTCTAAATTAACTTTAAAAAGCCAAATTTTGCAGGTTAATCAAGAATGTGGGCAATGAGGCAGTAACCTGCCTTGACACCATGCTTAGTAACATATAAACTCAATTCACTTATTTATTTTGTTATTTGTAAATTTATTTATTATTTACTTATTTATTTATTTATTTATTTATTTATTTATGATTATGTAGAAGTTTGCATGAACACATACGTTCATGGTTTAAGTCTGAAATAAACTCGATAATAATATTTTTTTTTCTTGGAACTAAATCTTAAAGGAACTGTAGACGTAAATTCATGTAGCCATCCATTTAAAGATTTTTTTGCGCAATCCAGGGGGCTGGATCTTAGCTACCTCTCCGTGTGCATTAGCCTGAGTGTACACTTGGGATAGTTTACTGATAAAGGTTGTTTAGAGATTATAGCCTAATGATACAGTACGCTCTCGGAGTGTATGGGGAGGTTTTGTTTCTTAAAGTTTACTTAGTGTCAGTTTTCTCAGAGCCGTTTATTAACGATGAAATATTGCTCTGTAAAAGACTGTAATAGTACGTCTTCCTGTGAAAATGTAATCCTCCATACGATAAAGTATTAGTGGATTTTAACAGTTACATTTAAAACACATCTCAATTTAAATATTTTTAGCTAAAAATCAACCCCAGGTATGTAATATACAGATTGACCTTTGAACTACGTGGCCTGTACAATTAGTAAAGAATTAGGGTACAAAATCACTCTATATACTATAACCTTGTTGGCGCAATCAATAAAGGTGTCCTTTAGGCTTTCACATTTATCTGAGCTACAGTAAGGAAAATTTGGTCGTTTTTAATTCTGTCAACTTCCTCTTTTGCTTAAGCTTCAAGTCACTTTTATAGAGACCCATATTTAAAAATTAACAATATTTTCTTTTTAAAGAGAGGGTCATTTTGTAGATAGTACCTTTAGCCGATCATGTTATATATGATTTGAGGAGGAGAAAGTCTTGTGAACGATATTTATAACCTTATAAATTACCCCATCTACATCCTCAGATTCCCCCTCTCTACAATTGTTTTCCCTCTGATTCTCCTGAAGTATCCGTGTTTTCCATAATATTTCCTATATATATTTGTAAATATATATATATTAGCACGCTATCTTGCGATCAAACTTTCTTTCTGCCTTTCCCTTTCTAATCATTTTGTGCCTTTCCATGCATTCTTCGATATTCTTCAATCTTTTTTTTCTATTTTTCTATTTCATTTCAATTTTCTTCCGAATTCCTTTTTCAATTACTTGTATGTTTTTGTCTTTAGGATGAATTATAAGCGAGGTTAACGAAACCGGTGCAGTGGTTACAGATCTAAAGGACCTTTTATAACTGTCCTATATCCTGTCCTATAAAACAAGTTTTATCCTATATCCTGGCTTATATTTTGTCCTATCCTAGAGTTAGTCCTACTTTATTCCCCGGTTTAGTTTGGAGGATGGATGTAAATGAGGTTAAGGGAAGCGGAGGATAGAAGACGGGAGAATCAGCTGGTTCCAGGATTACTGGTTTACTGGTTTAGTCATGTGAGATCCGTCATAGAGGATACACACGTCCTTTCAGTCTTACACACGTCCTCTTGTTTTCTCAATTACACTTGTTATTACAGTGTTACAATGAAGAAATGTGTGACGGTGAATAGTGAGAATATGTGAACTGTTAAAAAGTGGATACCTAGAAATTTCCAGGTATATCCCTTAGGCCCTTTTTGAAAAAAAATCTTATTGCTTTGAAACAGTCCGTGAAGAAATCAATTAAATAAATACCTCTGTTTTTCTGTTTGTTTGTATTTCTGATCACAACTCAGGAACCCGGCCCTTGACCGATTTGTCTCACATTTTAGTATATTACAACTTTGTTTAGAAATTCAAAGTTGAGTGATTTAAAGTTTAGTTTTCAGACAAAGCTGGGTTTCCAAGCTAGTATTTGGAAAATAGCATATTTTAATTAGAATATACAGGTCTAAAGTATCGTATTAAAGTTACAATACGAAAAGATCACACAACTGTATTAACTATTTATAACACTGTTATTTTGGCTCGCAGTGTTATTAAGTTTTTAGACAGAAATTTTCTCTTTATCGAGAAGGTTCAAGTCTTTTAAATTATATTTTGTCCCGAGCTTTAGCGAGAGACAAAATAAAATCTAAAAAGGCGAGAACCTTCAAGATATAGAAAAAATTTAAGTCCAAAAACTTCGAAGCAAGTCATGCTAATATAATAGAGCTATATTTGTGTACTTGTCTTATTTCAATGGCTATTTCTATAGTTCAAATAAGCTTTAAACAAAGCAAAAGTCAAAAAATAAAGTTGATTTTAATTTTAATTTTTAACATGCCTTACTACAAAAAGAAGATTTCTTAAAACTACATCTAAAGTCCCTTTCCAGGTCTAATTGTATTTTTTTTACGTTTATCTATATATAAATTTGGCTTGTCTGTCTGTCTGTCTGTTTGTCTGTTTGTTTGTTTGTTTGTATCCAATAAACGTCAAAACGGCTGAACCGATCGGGCCCAAATTTTTTGTGGGACATCTAGGGACCCCAGGGAAGGTTTATGAAAATCAAAATTTCAAATATTTGTCTCCATCAAAATTCGATCGTCATTAAATTTTTAAAAATTTTGAAAATCCGCGAAATTTTTTGTGAAAATCCGCGAATTATTTTTGTTTTGTTTTACGATGTACACAAAGAGAACATGTTCAAAACTAATTTAGAAGATGGGCGCGAAGCGCCCTCTAAGGCTAGAAAGAAGGGCGCGAAGCGCCTTGAATTTCTAGTAGATATATAAATATATATGTCATAATCAGTGATTATACTTGCAATAAACATTTATTGTTGGTTAGAAAGCGCTCAAACAGGGGCACTAGGTAAGGGGGGGGGGGGCACCCCCCAGGAAAAATCATTTTCACAAATCACTTAAAGACTCTTATGTCGTTGTTTTTCCAAACGATTTTTTTAAACCAAAAGAATTTTAACATTTAGGAAAAGGATTTAAAAAAAAATATAAGTTGTAGCACTCCACTAAGTATCGATATCAATAACTTTTGTGTACTTTATCTTTTATGCTTACTGCGGTGCTCTAAATTGATCATCCTAATATAGCACCGTGTTATAAATTTTAATTGGTTCCCGGATTTTCTAAAAAAGTTACAAAAAATTTTGTCAAATCTTTTTTAATTAAACAGAATTTAAATTGATGTTATTTTTTATTTAAATATTGTCAAAAGCTTACCATAGTGCACAAACATTTTTTAAATTGCCTCATAACACATTAATTTGGCACAACGCGTTCTAAAGTTTTGGGACTTAAACTTGTTCTACATCGATATCTAAGAGAAAATTCAAGTTAAAAAACTAAATTATACTGCGAACCAAAAAAAATTAGTGTTTTAAATAGTAAATATAAAGCATAATAATTTCTGTTTTTGTATGTCCGTTCAAAATGTTCTTACGTTGACCGACTTGCCTCTAATTTTGATTGGGGAACTCGGTGGAACCAGGGAAATGTTCTAGTTTTAATTTAAAAACTCTATATTGAGCCGAAAGACAATTGTACTTAGCTTGGTTTTAAAATTCTAGGTTGAGAAGGTTGACTTTTATAGAGTAAACCTGGGTTCCCATACTAGCAAAACTATTATTAACATTTAATTAGCTGAAATATACAATATGCAAACTAAACAACCATTAAACACTTGGAAGTATTTTCATACATTTTCAAATTAAAATTAAATTTTCCTAGTTTATCAAATATATTTCAAAAACTATTTTCTAAGAGTTAAACTGAAAATTATTATTCAGAAAGTTTTGCTGCTTTTCCATTCTCTGACACTCTGAAAATTAAAAGTTTAAAGTTTGAAGTGAAAAGATAAATATCTTTTATTTTATCTTTTATCAAGCATGAGAGTAAAGCTCACTTTATATATAATTCAAGCTTAACAAACTGGGTTGGGGTGGGGTTGGGGTCTAGAGAAATATATTGCCTTTGAGGGGAATCATGTGACAACCCACCCCTCATTATTCATATTCTGAAAGTGCAATAAAAAAATTTACTCCATCATTTCTAAAGTTTTTAAATTTACTCTTTTTAGTACAGGGTCACCCACAACGAATGAAACTTCAAAGACTTGTACGGAATTAACAAGTTAATTTGTTTGGTCCGTTGTCTTGCGTTTAAGGTTCCTGTAGGCTAAAAACTGCCATATTTCTGTTCTTAATCATTTCGTAAACCATCAATATACTCAATTGAATGCAGAAACCAAAAATCAAGCTTCAAATGGTGATATGTTGGGTCGTCTTTACAGTCTCATCTTTTCTGGGTAACCCTGTGCTGATGCACAATTAAACTTTTTTTTAACCTGATTAGAAATTTCTCCTGTGCAGCCTTAATATTTTCATCCTTCCCCATCCAGGCCTCTCTGCAACTATCCTGAACATTAAATTTATATTTAAAAGTTTCGAGATCAGGACTACGCTCATACAGGATTTGACCTGGGGTCAGAACTTTTGAATAATCTAGCGCTAATCTACAATGCTTAAACTTGATAGTTACAGTTAAAAATTTTAATTCGAAGCAACAAAGTGCTTAACTCGAGGCAACAGCTGACTGTTTTATTATTTACAAAAAAATATAATTCATAATTGTCAGCATAAAAAAAAAGAAAATAGTTTATTGCATTATATGATTACGACATGTGATGTACAAGACAAAACAAACCCCTTGAGACTTTTATAAATGGATTATTCCTAATAAATTATCCGAATGTCAGAATTTATCATGAATAAGTATATTTACATAAGGTTATATGCAAATAGCATGGGAAACAGCCAAATATTTTTATCAAACCACTCTAACAGTGGAATATAAAGACGACTATTAAACTCAACTTACGATTTTAAATGGTGCTGCAGGCACACAGACCTTTTCAATTAATAAGTTTATTTTTTATCTTTGTTACAAAATCTATACTTAAAGATTGTTTAATTTCCACAGTTTTATGGTTCTTACTCTTAATAAGATGTACGTCTTACTGCACGTCCCACCGGTGTACATTTAAATATCCGAGCTGGGCCAACCTTTGCAGTTCTACTTTGGACTGTACCGCTAATTTACAATTACTAAAGCGGCAGAGGAGTGTGACTGTTGATAATGTGACTTAAAATTCTTGAAGGTGCACATAATAGAAATTTCGAGAATCGAATTTTATTATCAAACTTAGGGTGCATGTTTACAAACAAAATTCACTATTTTGAAAACAAACAAATAAATAAATAAATAATCATTATTTTTTTTCGCAAATCAGAATGCTTTTTATAAACCTGAAGAGCCCGTCCAAAGCAGAACGAAGTCATCCAAGGTCTGGAGTATCCAGTCTGAAATAGTGTTATATTTTATAGATATTTGGAATTTAGTCTTTGAAACAAACTCTGATTTTCTATATCTCTTATGTGGTGTTATCCTTTGATATACTAAACTTAGATTATTTAATCTAACAAAATTTAGCTTGTCTGTCTGTTTGTCTATCTGTTTGTATCCAATAAACTTCAAAACGGCTAAACCGATCGGGCCCAAATTTTTTGTGGAACATCACGTGAACACAGGGAAGGTTCATGAATGATAAAAATAAGAAAAAATGTGTTTTAAAGGTTTTTAATTTTGTAAAAAAAAATTAAATTCTTGTAAATCCGCGAATTTTTTTTAAAAATCCGCAAAATGTTTTTCTTCTTTGTTTTGGAATGTAAACAAAAAGAACATGTTCACAATTTAAATAGAAGATGGGCGCGAAGCGCCCTAAAAGTCTAGTAACGATAAAATTGAATAATGTTTTATTTCCAGGTCTTGAAGCACTTCAAATCCTTCGAAAAACTTTTAATCTTAGTAATTGTAGATCTAATTAGCAGAATTGCCTGGATTGCATTGACTTTTTAAAGGATGATATTTTATTTTTTTAATAGCCGTTAAATTTGTTATTTTATAAAAACCTGTTTGTTGATGGCTTCTAGATTATCAGTAGACATTTTCTCAGATTGTCCTCCAGACAGAAAGAAAATTCCTAAATAACAATGTATTTCAATTATATTTAATTTATATATTTTCAACAAAACTATGATGAGATCTTAGAGAGTTGTAAAACAGTTTCCTTACAATTCACTTTCACTTGCCCTTTATTCTTCAGAGGCTTCAAAAATATTAGATTCTTATATTTCAAAGAATCAACTTTCTCTTGAGAAAATCCCAAGAACATTTCTGTAGGTAGACTTCAATTAGTCTTATATTTTCCACAAAATGTTAAGATCTTATCTTAATGTTATATTAAAATTATGTAAGTATAATTTTACTTAGCGAAAATCTCTTTAACATATTCCACAAATAATTTCTATCACGTTTAACATTCATATTAAATTTAATTGTTTTCTAATGAGAAAAATATAGAGATATTAAAATGACGATTTAAAAAAAGTCTAAATCTTTTTAAAATTTTCATTCCAGGCCCAACAGCTTAGTGCAATCTTATTTTACTAATAGCTATGTGATTTAGTTCAATTTCCAAACAAGAAGCAATTAATTAGCGGTAATCCCGGCCGGAATGGTACGATGATAGTTAGTAGAGCCCGAAACTTGAGACAGCGTATCGTAATGAAACCCGGTTTGGTTTCATGAATTGGTTTAAGAGTTTTGTAGATATCAAAAAAGAAACTCGAGTCCAGTTTTGTTCGATAAAATGCTGTTCTGGTTCGAATCATGCAATATGTAATATTTTTAATAAATTGGGTATTTTCATTTTTATATGATTTACAAATTGCAATTTTTAAGCGAATGGTAATTGTTTTTAAAGCTGCAGACAATAATTTTTTCCAAGATTCACGCATTATCTGTATAACCCCCCCCCCCCCTGAAAAGCTAATTTGCCGTTCTGAACATACCTAATAAAGCAATATGTATTTCTCATTTTGTATAGTATGCAGAATATATTTATTTTTTCTTGGTCTGATTTATCATTCAGGCAACATGTAAACTGTGAATAGCTCAGTACCTGGTACTGCTGGAGGAACATGCCTAGTTAGAGCTTGCATTGTCAGCTCAGCAACCTCCTCAGGAGTAGCCTTGTAAATAGAATATATTATACTGTTTGACAAAGGTTGTAAGGTCTCAAAAGTCGATGATAATTTACCAATTACTTCTCAAACCAGAAATTATGAAAAAAAAACGCTTTATAGGTTAAAAAAGTACCTGTCTAGAGCTACAAAAAAGTATTTGAGTTAGAGAGGTAAAATCAAAAGTCAAGACGTTGCGACACTTCAAAGTCGAGATAAATAAATAACGATGGCAACAAATTTCAAAACATTTCATTCCGCTTTATTCTGGTTTTTTAACGAACATTTTTGTAAGTTAAATCAATACTTTAGTGTGACGCGTTTATTTATGATTGTACGGTGAAAGAAGCTGAGATTTGACCCACACTCAAATTATTCTAATCCAAATCCCAATATATTTGCAACCTGATGGTGTATTTGATCTAAAAGAATTGTTGAAATATCATCGGGTTGCAGATAAATTAGGAAATAAATTAGAGTTTGTGGATCATTTCCTTTATTGGTTTATTTGATACCTGTTCAGGGCATTTGAGGCCACTAGTTACCATATTTGGCTTGAGAAGAGTCCCCTCCAAATAGATATGGTAATCTGCCAGAGCCTTTAAAATAAAAATGTCCTCAAAAATATCTTTTTTGCTCCGAAGAATTAGATTAAAGGGGTTAAATAAACTGATTTCTCGCAACCTGGTTCCCCAAATACTCTAAAAGTTAAATGATCCGAGCCGGTAAAACGTGCAGTGAATATGCATTCAGTCGTACTGTCCTGTCTGGACTATCTAGTATAAAGACGACCCAGCACGTTTTATGCAACAAATGTAGCAAGTCAATGTCACAGTGCTTTCTATAGACATTTGATGATGACAATAGCTGTAATCTGTAAGAGTTTCGTCTGCTATGTTTACATTTTGTTTGTTATGTTTTGACTGCAACCGGTTGTACTTAGTAAAACAAGAAAATTACAGTATACAAACAGAGTAAACTTGTCCGAATTCACTGTTCATCTTGGGAGACATTATAGACACATCTTTGCAGTCTTTTACCCTTTTCATTAAATAAACTCTAGCAGACATAATAATAATGGCTTTTGAAATTAGGTATTACAATGCTAATTCATAACAAAGACGATATCGAATTCGTCACTGAATTCCCATGTTTTTGGGACACCCTGTATTATTGTCAATTTTGGTTTCTATACTAAAGTGACTTAGCACTTCTTCTGTAGAAACAATGAAAGAAAATTATAAGAATTAAACTCTTTAAAAAAGACGATTTCTTTAAAATTTTGGATGAAATGAAGGTTTAAAGAATACCATTGTGAATGGTAAATTAAGTTTAACGGGAAAAAATAGAAGGTTTAAAACCGAGTTGAATAACTACAAACTCTCACATTCAGAAATGAATTATTAAATGAATTTTCGAAAATAAGAAAATTTAAAAATATTTATTTGAAAATGTTCCTGAAGACATCTTTGTGCGGTATGCTCTCCTCCTCTACCAATATCAGGTTCTGGAAAACATATGTTCACAAAAAAATAATCTTTTTTAATTGAGTTATTTTTTAGATATTTCCGAAACTTTTGGACAATTTAACTTATTCCGGAAAATTTTTCCATTTAGAACCGTTCTTTGAAGTAATAAAGGCTAATTAGATTTTTCAAAAAAAAGTTGTTAAGATTTTTTTTCTTAATACAATTCAGATATAGTTATTTATACCTTCAAAACTTAGTTACTGAAAAGTTGTAATAAAAGATTAAAAAATGAAATCTTTTGGAACAAAATTTAAAAAAATTAAATGGCTTTAATAGATTATTGTTCATTGGAACCTAAGGGTTGATTACAGTAATCGGTGTTAATAACAATATATTGAAGACGACTTCTCTATTTTAGTTTTGATTTTTCAAATGACAAGTTCAAAAGTTAACAAAGAGAAGCTATTAATAGACAGGTTTCCATGTTTATGTGTATCCAGGATGTTTAAAAGCTTGGCAGAAATAGCAAATTTAAATCGAAATTCGTCTTCGTTTGCGACGACGACTGTTTTACCCAAGAACTAAGGTAGAATGAATAGGGTTTTAAAATTAAATTATTATGTATTGAAACTGCTCAGAAACTGGTTTACCGTAATTTAAGAAAAGTGTGTAAAAATGGATTTCAAAGGGCCATGATGTCCTGGTCATTAAACTCTCAACTATGTTTATAATCTTTGTAATTGTTTTTATAAAGCTAGATCCAGCAGTCCTTATTACAGTAAAATGTGAACCCTAACCCCTATACCTTATTTACTTTACCTATGATAGGAACAAGGCCATTTCTCTGGGCAATTTTAGCATACATTGCAGTGCTTCTTGCACCCTAATAAGTATTTGTAAAAATACAGGGTTACCCACAAAGGTTGAGTGTTTAGAACGACTATAATTATAAAAATATAGAAACTCTCCAAACATAATCTTTTATTAACATATCAAATGATATTGCAAAGATAAATAAGTTTAATGACGTAAGAAACTAACGAGACTATAAAGACTTTAAAAACAAAGAAAGCTCTTTTTTAAATCCCCCCCCCCCCCCCCCCAGCCCCCAAGAAAAGATTTAATTCAATCATGCATGTATTAATATCAAACGTTTCTAACCTCCAGAATTGCTTGATATGTCGGGATATGGTCTCCAATATTAACCACCATCCTCCATTTTGCAAACTTGCATCCCAAACTAGCATACTCCTCACATCTTGGGTTGTTTTAAAATGAAAAATGAATATTTTCCGTTTCGTTTTTTCAAAACTAACAAATCTTAGAAAAAAAAGGGTTTCCTCTAGCTATGTGAACGAAACTAAGAATAAAAAAACTACTGCTTCTTTTCAAAACGATCGTTTTTTTTACATCGTTAACGAAACGATCAGTTCGTTTTACAGAAATTGAAAACGATCCATGTTTACTTACGCCTCAGGGAGTATCAATGGGTATTGCGCAAGTTTACTTGGTTTTATTTTTAATCAAATCAAGTTTAATCAAATAAAAAGGAGGAAAGGGGCCGGATCGGTTCAGCCGTTTTGACGTTTGGATACAAATGGACAGACAAACAGATAAGCAAAGAATATAAATATAAATCTACTAACCTTTTATCCAAACCATCCAGTCCTTGAGTAAAAACCTCGCTATTTCCAGAACCAAGACTAATCCAACCCTGACCAAATTTAATGAATTTGAGCTATATGTAGATTGATTCAAATATTTATTTATAGTTCTGCATGGTAGTTATCCTGTATAGGACATGGACAAATCCAGTATCACCAATTCAACTCCTATGTAAACAACTATACACTGCAGAACTACAGAAAAGTATTTGAATCGTCGACAGTACGCAGTTCAGCGACCTTGCTTAAATTCATTAAATTTTGCCCCCTGTTATTCAGATAGGTAAAAGGCTGAAAACTGATAATACAATCTTTAAATTTTCTTCATATTGATCGATAGAATTTGACAACAGAAACTCTCACAATGTTTAACTTGAAAATTAATTAAAGTAATTACCTCATGATTTTGTTATATGTAAAATACATTGAACATAATACAATTTTGCCTTATTTCACGAAAAAAATTGTAATTCCTGAAAACTTTCGATCAAACAGTGTAGACCCGGACAGCAAGGAAAATCATTTTGTTAAACACACAACAATGTTTTACTGATAATACAAAGGAATTTAGTTTTTGTCAAAAACTGGTATTTTCTGATCCCTATATCTTGGCAACCCAATGCAATGTCGTAGATCTTTGATATGTCAAACTATTTATTCTGTTAGATCGAATAATCCAATAATAAAGTTTGAAATATCAAAGGTTTAAAAATCAGGTCACAAAGATATAGGGATTTAAAAATCTTAGCTTGTGACAAAAATTCAATTTCTTTATGCATGGTTTTGACATCAGATATGGGTCTTTTATCTTCTGACAGAGTCCAAGTTTACAGATCGTAAAAGAACAATTATAAAAACTTTCCAAAATTTTAATTTTGAGCAGAATGGTTAAAAGAATTTTTATTCTTCTAAATAGCTCTTTGTTTAGTTGAGTTATGATTAAAAACATATAAGATTTCAGTCGTGTAATCAAGCATTATTTGATAAAAAAAACGAACCAAATTTAATAATATGTGAACATTCCTTTAAAACATTTATCTCAATCTAATTAGCTGAAATATACAATATNAGGTTTTATTCTATACAATATGCATATGTATTCCAGGTTTTATTCTATACAATATGCATATGTATTCCAGGTTTTATTCTATACAATATGCATATGTATTCCAGGTTTTATGAGAGCTATAGTATCCTGTCCTGCCACTTTTTTACTGCTTATATGCAAACATAATCAATATATTTAAAACACTTTTTTTTAGAAGAGGAATTGAGTCTTTGACAAAAACTTTGATTTTCTAACTCCTATATCTTTGTAACCCGACATTGTAGATCTTATCTATTTCATACCATACTAATTCTGAAACACAAAAGTTTAAATCCAAAAAAAAATAATTTATGTAAAAAAAACTTAAAAACTTAATCCATAAATACAAAGAATTAGTTCTAACTATCAGTACAATTTTAAATGTAATAATCGTATAACATATGTTAAAAAAAAATGTAAACATTTATTAGACTCGGAAATATAAATATTTAGATTAAAAAAATAATAGTTATAAATAGTTAAGATCTACACCATCAGGTTGAAAAGATATAGGGATATAGGGAAAGTTTGAGTTTGTGGTAAAGAAACATTTCTTTTTTGTTTTGTTTGAGCATTTCTTTCTCGGAAATATTTTCATTTTTGTTTAATCTCCAGGAAATATTTCTTAATCTCTAGGAAATATTTCTTAATTTCGAGGAAATATTTCTTAATTTCTAGGAAATATTTCTTAATTTCCAGGAAATATTTCTTAATTTTCAGGAAATATTTCTCAATCTCCACGAAATGTTATTTTATCTCCGAGAAATAAGGTTTAATCTCCAGGAAAAACGGTTCAATTTCCAGCAAATAAATCTTGTTACTCTCCAGAAAATTTATTTAATCTCCCGCGGAAAATAAATCTTGTTTATCTCCAGAACATATATTTAATCTCCCGGAAAATAAATGTTCATAAAATCAGAAAAGGTTTTTTATTAAAATAATATTTTACCTTGTCCAGAGTAATTCCAGGAACAATTCCGAGATCTTTTACAACCTTAAAGGGTGTGTTCGCGAAAAATGAAAGGGGGTATAGGCTTAATGCGATAAAAAAGCGCTTTTGATCGCTACTGATCTTATTTCTATCTGTTGCGTCTATAAAGAGAAAATTGGTAAAGACGTGCAACATACGACTTAGATCGTAAAAAAATCAATTTAATTTTAAACAAATCATTCAGATATTACAACCTATAGTCATCGATTATCTTTCGCCACATTTGTATATAGTTTATATTTTATAATATTTTTTAATTAATTTGTTTTGAATTTGATTATTTCTATTGTCGCTTGCGCAACTATCTAAGAAAAAGATAAAACAATTTTTNCTCCCCTCTTCTGTGATTACCCCCCTCTCCCTCCTTTCTATGATCCCACGCTCTTCCTAAAATCCCCCCCTTCCTATGTTTCCAACTCCCATTTCAGTCATTTAGAGTAAAGATTAAGAAAAGTATACTTCTCCCAGAAAAGATAAAAAAGAAAATAACAAGAAAACATCCAGATTCTTAGACCAAAACTTGTATTATTACTTTTATTTTTATGAAGTTTACTTGTTAACTAGAAATTTCTGTTATTGGATTTCTGATAAATCCATGGTTTAGGTCTAGTTTCTATAGAAGTCATAATTATTCTTCTTTTCATACTATCCTATACTCACAAAGGGAGACTTTAAAGGGAGTGTTCGCGAAAAATTTAAGGGGGTTAGACTGAATCCTTATCATTAACGCTTTTGGGCATTAATTGTTTTCAACTGCTATAGATGCAACGGATAGAAGTAAAACTAGTAGTGATCGGGTCCTGATTTAATTAGAATTTATATTTATCGCCATTTTATTTTTCTCACTCTTTAATGACAGCCTAAATCTCTAAAATTGCAACGATCTGTCATTTTTAATTTTTTAAATGGAAGAAGAAATTAATAAAAGATTTTACTTTTTTACCTCAATAATTGGTCGGCCATCATCAGTTTTCTGGTAAAGTGTCTCTGATTGTAAAATAACAGCTGACAGTGAAGTCAGCTGATCTTTAGGACAGCTGAACAACAGCTGACGATATCTAAAAACATAACAGTTGATCTTTGGGACAACTAATTTTTGGGACAGTTAAATTAAACCCGTTTTTTATCGTTTGAAATTTTTTTTTGATTATTTGATTTTAGAAATTATAAAGAGTTTTCCAATTAAAGAGAATATTTTTCTCCTCAAGATATGATCAGAGTTTTTTTCCCAACGAAAACGTCAAAGCAATATAATATTTTGTTATTATTAAAAATTTACTTCGAGCTTACCATTGTATTTCAAAATTGTGAACAGTTTGTTCAGAATGATCTTCCATAGGTTTCATCAACCGCTAGAGTATTAATATACCTTCGTCTATTTTCTTCTGTATTATCTATTCCAAGATGTTTGAACCGATCCTGCATAGCTAGGGGGGTTTCATCTGCTGCTAGAATACCACAGCCAGGCTTACAAATAGACCTAGAATAACAAATAAATTCTGTGCACGCTATTAAATATTTTTTTTTCGTTGGTTTATCGATCGTGAATGACCCGTTATGTTCGTTTTTTCAATCGTTCAAAAAATAATTGATTTTGTTCGTTTTCATTTTCCATTTATTTCGTTCGTTTTCTCACTGAACAATCGTTAAAATCGGAGTTTATGGTTGTGTTAGTACTAACCGGGACGGATGATACTTTTAAGGGACTTGATTTCATGCAAGTGGCAATTCATTTTCACAATGACATTCATGTTTTACAATTTGGTACCTTTTTAACCTAATTTTGGTCATCGATGATGGAGAAATCCTTATTTTTCAGGCTTGAAATTGTGTCCCGGTAAACTGGATGTTAATCAAGTTTTATTAGTTGTAACTGAACTATGAGTATGACGCGATTTGGTTTAATCTTTTTTTCTGAAAATTGTTTATTTTCTAAAATAATATAAAATTACAAGAAATTTTAAGGGGTATAAAGACTAAACCAGAATAAAATTTAAATTAATAAAATTGATATTGCTGCAATCTTTTTAATATTTATGATTAAAAATTGTAGATTTAAATTTTACATATGCAGTTTTCAAATGAAATGATATAAAAACTTATGTAAAAGGTATAAATAACAAAAAAGAACTTGAGCATTAAGTCACAAAATAGGTTTTCAAACATTGAACCCAAAAATAGTTTGTTTTATTCCAAATGTTAGTTTCATACTGAACTATGATTTTTGTCTGATGTAAATCAAGATCTCAGGATGTCCTGATAACTTTTGTGCGATATCATTAACGATATTGATCAGTCCTATATCATAAACGATATTGATTAGTCCGATTTCTATAACGATATTGATAAGTCCGATATCATCAACGATATTGATAAGTCCGATATCTATAACGATATCGATCACTCCGATATCATTAACAATATTGATTAGTCCGATATAATTAACGATATTGATAAGTCTGATATCATTAACGATATTGATTAGTCCGATATCTATAACGATATTGATAAGTCCGATATCATTAACGATATTGATCAGTCCGATATCTATAACGATATTGATCAATCTGATATCTATAACTATATTGATCAGTCCGATATCATTAACGATATTGATTAGTCCAATATCTATAACGATATTGATCAATCTGATATCTATAACGATATTGATCAGTCCGATATCATTAACGATATTGATCATTCCGATATCTATAACTATATTGATCAGTCAAAGCTTTTAAGGTAATCGTCTAAAATCGGGCATTGGCATATTTGCTAAGTCACAGATTTAGGAGACAAAAATATCGTCCAATTTTATTTCTAAACCAAATATTTTGGTATTATAGCTGGAAGCTTTACTTTTTTGGACACCATATGATCACATGCTTTTAACATGTTAACATATAAAATATAGTATCAGACATTTCAGGTTTTATTCACATTTAATACAAATTAAATCAAAACTTCGATCATTATGATTTTTCTTTCAAGTTTGAAAATTTCCAAAGAATTTAAATCATTTTTATTCATTGATTTAGCTAAAAATCGTAAACTAATTTAATACTATCGTGCGGTATTTAATGTGTGTCATAAGTACAATTTACAAGGAAATTTTAAACCATTTTTATCTTCACAGCAAAAAAAAAATACAGTAGTTTGGCACTAACTAAGTACAACCTACTTTGGTGCAAATTAAAGAAACAAAACAGTAATGCACGGAGGGGTAAATACTATTCATAACACTGTTATATTGGTTCAAAGTGTTTTAAAGTTTTTTGATAGAAAATTTCTCTTTATCGAGAAGGTTTTAAGTCTTTTTAGATTTTATTTTGTCTCAAGCTTTATCTAGGGACAAAATATCATCTAAAAAGGCGAGAACAGTCGAGATATTGAGAAAATTTAAGTCTAAAAACTTTAAAGCACGTCGTACCAAAAAAGTGTTATAGGTAATTTTTTGAAACGTTTGTATACTTGTCTTATTTCAATGGCTATTTCTATAGATCAAATAAGCTTTGAAACAATGCAGAAGTAAAATATAAAGTTGATTCAATTTTATTTTCATTTAAATTTTAAAAAAAATATTTTTGAAATATCTAAAAATTTTTGGAGAAAATCCGGGAACCAATCAAAACTAAATTTATAGCGCACGTGCTTTAATAGCACGTTTATTATGAAATTCACGATGAAGTAAGTAAGTACACAATAGCTTCATAAATAAAATTAATTGCAGTGTCAAATATTTTGAAATTTGCCAGTTTTTTATTGCTTCTCGACGTTATTTAAATATTTGTAATCTAAATGTGAAAAAGCAGGCTCTAGAATTGTAAAATATAAAAATACTAAAATTTTTGTAAATAAAAAGTTATGCATAGTACATAGTCTATAGTACATAGTATATGGCGTAAAAAGGTCCGGTTCTTTGTAAAAAAAAAATAAAATAAAATATCCCATAACTGAAGCTACAGATTAAAAACCATTTTTTAAAAAGCCCTGAAAAAATGGATGTAGAAACATATGTCGCGCTAGTCTGATATTTGTTGAAACAAGCTAAAATATTTGTTACTTTTTTATATTTTTTCAAAATTTTTTACATTATTTTGGCATTTTTTAAGCCCTCCCTAGCACCCAACCTAAAAAATTTATCGGTTTATTTTTTTTCAATGAGCTGATATTAAAAAATTGGGCTATGAACATGCATTTTAACCATATATCTATTCTCTAAGGCCTTTTTCTAGGAGGGGGGGTGGGGATACATTAGATTCAGATCCTCCATGCCTCTATAGGGTTAAAAATTACTTAGAAATAAACAGAAAAATTAATAAGAAATTAAAAACCTATGATTAAAAAATCAATGTCGACAACAGTGTCAGCGTTTCGGTTAAAACGATTTAAAGATGCTAAAAAGAATCCCAATTTAATTTTGTGAAAGGATAATTTTTATCATGAATGCATTTAGTATCTCTGGATTACTTCGCTTAAATCTATTTGGGCATTCTTTAACATACAATTTTCACACCCTCTGAGCCGGGAACTTAAAATTAATTTGTTTGTAAATGGAACAATTTTTTGAAGAAACATTATTTTGCTCAACACAAGGGCAAAGCAAACTTATTAACTGTGTTAAAATAAACTCAATCTATAGATTGACAATTCCATTGTCGGAACAACGCGTATGGACGTTATCACTTTTATATTCAAACGATTAATAGACAAACAAAAAACAAAGTACAAAAGATATTTGATCGATTAATAAAGAATAGAGATGAAATTGAAATGAGATGACATTTAAGCAATTAAAAAAACGAAAACTGTATTACAAACTAATATAGATTATTTAAATATATTTCACTCTGTTGTCAGATAAATAGACTGTATGTGTTATTTCAAATGCCCATTTAAGCAAACACGCCATACAATGTCACTCTTGAAACCTTGGAAGATAGATCGTTTTCCGGACTCCAGAAGTGTTTAATTCTTATAATTTCTCCTTTGCTGCTTATAAGCATAAAATGTGCAAGTCACTTTTTCATAGAAACCGAAAATGAAAGATAAGATTTTAAAGAAACAAAAACATGAATATCTAATACATACCTGATCAGACAAAGCTTTTAAGGGTATCGTTGTCAATCGGACATTGCCATCTTTGCATGGAGGGTCACTTAAATTACGCTTAAAGCGCCTTAAAGTAAATGCTGGGAGCAGGCAGTTTATGAAGGGCGAGAAGTAGTTGAACTATGGTATGGGTAGATCAAACTATTCTGCTGACTTGCTTATGTAAACTTGAATCATTAGTCAAACCATCTGTAATTCTATACCTAGTTCAACCATCTGTACCTAGTTCAACCAGTTTTAAACTATTAAAATCTATAAAAATAAACATTTTTTGAATTTCCAAAATAAAATGATAATATTTTCAGGATGTTTAACGCGTGGTTAGCCAACATCCTCAACTCATATCTGGGAGAGGTCATTTTTTTAGGAAGTATTCACTTCAGCAAACCAAATTTTTAATTTCTTCAAAATCGTCGAAAGATCTGAGAATTAAAAGAAAATTGGATTTGTTGGTGGCTGAAAATTTCATATGCAAAAAATTGAATTTGAGCCAAAAATTTGGTAAAGTCCAAAAATCCGTTTTTTGATAAAAGATCAACCAAATTTTAAGACATTACAGCGAAAACAAATTGGCAGTTTTAAGCGGCCATTTCATCATATTTAAATTTTTTAAGTAATATTTTTCCTTGAAGCTGACAATATAGATATAAAATTGTGTAAAAATTGATCCTCCTTATTGGCCAGTTGGATTTGCTGGAGTAGTCCCAAAATTGGGTCCCAAACCCGGGTTTAACCCTCTCTTTCCTTTTTTTAAATAAAAGGTGATAAAGAATGGTTAAGTCATAATTGGTGATTCTTTTATCTGAAACCCCTTTAAAGAAAATTTGATAAAACACCTCTTCTTTTTTCATGAACATTTCCCTAGCAAATCTTAAAAATATGCCAAACTTTAGAAAACATTCTTCCCCGTAATAAAGTTTGAGACCTGGAATTTTATTAAATTAAGTTCTTAATTAAAATTTCATGAAAAGTCAGCAAAACAAAGAAAATTAAAATGTACTCAAAAAGGATTGTCTAGCAAATAACCATTTTTTTAAAAGTGGGAACAATTATTCACAAGAACTAATTTAAACTTAGTGATGCCGCTCGATTGCCACTCTTTGTAGGGTCCTCTAGGGTCTGGCATTGAACTGTGCTCTAGGTATTGCATTCTTTATATGTACTCCTCTATATTCAGGTGGTTGAGGAGTTGGACTCCCAAAATCTAGGAGTGGGTGCTTTACAAGGAGATATTCTTCTAATAGATCTTAAACTTAGATCTGATTGTCTGGTGAGTTAATTTCATTCAAATTAAGGGGGGGCAAACTTGTTATGTTGAATAAATGGTAAACATGGGATTTTTAGCCAGTGAAGGAAAAATATGAATTCCAAAGGAGGTGGGCACCAACCCCAACCCCCCCACCCCACTTTTAGGCAGCTAGCTCATTTCAAAGTATAGATTGTAAAACGGGAAACTATCCAAATAAGTCATCCCTTTTAACTTTCATGGACTGATTTCTCTCTTAATCAGGTTAAATGCCAGCTCCGACTTGGAATTAAATATTATTCTTTAAAAAATCTTGATCTCACCTAATTGAAAAAGGATATTTCCGAAAAATCTATAATTGGTGTGACATGTTTAGTCCTTAGGCAAAAAGTGAATTTATGATTTGCTTCCTAAAATAGACGAGAGTTTCTTTAAAAAAAAAAGAAGTTTTAATCAAAAAATAGTCTTTTTTCTACAATAGGTTCTAGAAATGTCCAATATAGGTGTTCAAATAAATAAGGGAAAAGTCCAAAAAAATGTTTTTTTTCGTTTCATAAAAAATATGTATTTACTAGAATTAATTGCTTATTTTATTTTCATTATATTGATATCTTCTGTTTCAGTCTTTACTGGAGTTACCCATTGAAGTAATTGCTGGAACAATTGGTAAAATCAGTTTCAAGATTCCATGGAGTAATTTATCCAGCAACCCTGTTCTTGTTCATGTACAAGATGTTAATCTTGTTGCAGTACCAATCTCTCATAGGTTAGTTTATCTAGTAATCATGTACTCATTCATGTACAAGATAGAATCTTGTTCTTGTTCATGTACAAGATATAAATCTTGTTCTTGTTCATGTACAAGATATGAGTTTTGTTATTGTTCATGTACAAGATATTAATTATGTTCTTATTCATGTACAAGATATAAATTTTGTTCTTGTTTATATAAAAGATGTAAATCTTGTTCTTGTTCATGTACAAGATGTTAATCTTGTTCTTGTCCATGTACAAGATGTACTTTTTGTTCTTTTCCATGTACAAGATGTCAATCTTGTTCTTTTCCATGTACATGATGTAAATATTGTTCTTGTAAAAAAATTTACAAGATGTAAATTTTGTGGCGTACCAATCTCTCATGGGTTAGTTTATTTAGTAATCATGTAATTGTTCATGTACAAGATGTTAATCTTGTGCTTGTCCATGTACAAGATGTAAATATGTTATTGTTAATTTACAAGATGTAAATATTGTGGCGTACCAATCTCGCATAGGCTAGTTTATTTAATAATCATGTACTTGTTCATGTACAAGATGTTAGTCTTGTGCTTGTCCATTTACAAGATGTAAATCTTGTAGCTGTACTGGCCCATCTCTCATAGTTTGTTTCATTCAGTAATCATGTACTCATTCATGTACAAGATTTTTATCATGTTTGCAGTACCAATTTTACAGAGACAAGGGCTGAGACTGAAATGCCGACCTAAATTTCCTAAATAGTAAATTTCCAAAGATTTAAACGATAACTGATGTCTTGACTCTCGAGTGTATATTTTACAAGGAATCAAGAACGCCAGTAAAAAAGACAAAATACAATCTGAATTGTCGTGTCTAAGACTTATGCTCTCAGGGTAACCCAAGTGGTTTGATTTTCTAGTAAACCTGGGACCGAAGTTGAGCTACGGCGCTGAACTACCTACAGTATAGTTATTTATATTTATCTGTAGTTCTGCATTTCTGTAGTTCTATAGGACATGTAATAATCTTAAATCACAGGTCCATGTTGATATAGTACATAGATTTAAATAACTACACTGCAGAACTACAGATGAGTATAATTTGAATCGACGGTACGTAGTTTAGGTACCTAGCTTAAATTCATTTTATTCTGGTCCTGAATTCTTATTTTCAGAGGGTATAACGAGGAGAAGGATAGTAGACTTGATGCCACCAGAAAACGAAGATTTCTCCAGAAGGTTGAGAGCATCTCAGTAATTAAACGAGCAGCTAAATCTCAAAACTCTAAGGTACACTCATGTAGCTAATTGTAATTCATTCTTTTCTTTTTTGTCATTCATATTGCGAATGAAAATCATTAAAAAGCTGTTTATGTTTTCTTTCATAATTATAAAAGATATGCCATACCAATTATATTTGTTGTTTGCATCATCATGATCATTTAAAGTTAAGCTTACCCAACAAACCAAATTCCGTGGAAGACCTGTTAATTTATGCAAGACATCAATGTTAAATGTACAGCAGTTGTACTGTTTGTACAGCAGTTAACATATTTGTCGATAATTTGACCTTGAGGCAAGAAAGGTCAGAAAAATGGAAAAATTATTCCTGGAAGTTTTGCATTTCTTTGCAAACAATTTAAGGAGAAAATTCACGAGAAAAAAAAAATATTTTACAATTTTTTTCAAAATTGTCGCCTATTTTTTCCCACGAAATTCTTTATCGTTTTCTCTTCCTTTCAAAAAATTCATCTTAGTAAAAAAAATGCGAAATTCCGCAAAAAACGTTTGAGAAATAAGAAGGAAATTTTTACCGCAATTCTGCATTTTTTCGAGAAAGTTTTTATTTGCTGGAAACCCTAGGCAAGATACATATGTAAACCTATGCTTTTTTTGTTAGGTCTTCACTGTCGTCTTCACTAACAACCTGAACCAATCTATCTTGTTCCATCGTCTTTGGTTTTAATCAATTAATCAAATATATTCTTTTAGGAGGAGAAGTTGAAAAGAGAACTGTGGGAAACAATGATTGCTACTTTTATGAACAATGTTCAAGTTTTCATTGACAGGGTTCATATCAGGTATTTTTAGACTATACAGTGATCCCCAGATTAAAGTGCAAATGATAACCAATCAAAAAACTTTCATAATCATACCGCAACATTTTATAATTTGTTAGAGCTTTGTCAGGCATAACGAATTAAGCTTGGAGTCTTGAAGTTTTCTTTTGTTGGCTATCATTTTTTTTCAAAATCACATGGTGGTTTTATTCATTAAATGTTACTTTGTATTTGTCACTGTATACATTTCTAAGGGACCAATCATGATAAGAATGTCAGAATTTACTTACATCAGAAATCTGAAACTTATTTCTTTCCAATTCATACAGCTGTCTCTTTAAATAATAATAAATATATATTCTAGATATGAAACCAATATATCTATACATCTNTATTTCTTTCCTATCTATACAGCTGTCTCTTTAAATAATAATAAATATATATTCTAGATATGAAGACAGTATATCTATACAGCTGTCTCTTTAAATAATAATAAATATATATTCTAGATATGAAGACAATATATCTATACCTGGTAGATTTATATCCTGCGGAATTTGCCTGGAGTCCCTTGCAGCGGAAACTACGAATAGGTTTGTAACGGAAACTTGACTTTTTCGGATAGATTGAAATATCTATTTTGATTTTTTCCCTTTTTTCTTTACTTTATAGGAAGGTGTACTCACAAATATTAAAGTTAAAAAATATAAAAATGAATTCGATATAATTGGTTGCAAAGATATAAGTACAGTTACAGACCTTTTTTTCTTGACATTTTTATAAATTACAACTATTTAGATCGGAACAATTCTGTCAAACTTTTGACGGTTAAGTATGAACATGACTCATTTCATGACAAGAAATTTTAATAGATAGATGATCAACGCTTGCAGGCTTTACTTTTTAACTCTATGTTACCCCCAGGGTACCCATGGGTTTCCTCAACAAATTTCAGACAATTTGTTTCAACCATTTGGCCAGATATAGCTGACAAAAATATACATATATATATATATGTATAAGCAATGTTATAAAGCAAGGAAAGTTAATGGCAGTTGCGTACTCTGTGTACATATTGAAACCAGTTCTCGATGGGCGGAATTTGTAAACAAGAATAGATGCCTCAGTGTTTGTTTAGTATCCGTGGAGGATAAAAGCATTTAATTTTGATAATTTTGATAATTCACATAATAGTTTCCTTTGACCAGAATATTTCATTGATTTTTTATGTGAAAGATGGATCCCGCGGGTCATGCTGTGACATCCGTCTTGTGTTTAAATTACCGCCCAGAGACAGTACACTGCAGTACAAAAGATGCTTACACCTCTGAAATAACTTTCCTTGCATTATAACCTTGTGTATGAGGAAAGAGCTTTATTATATAAATAATTAATTGTTTAGTAAATGGAAAAGCTGTGAAATCAATGGAAACTCTAAAAGTATTTTCAAGCTTGTCAGGTACAGTACAGTACAGTACAGTACAGTAAAGTACAGTAAAGTACAGGTACAGTACAGTTTTGAAAGAATGTAATTTCAACTTGCTTTCCATATAAAGAACACGTTAACAAGGGTACACTGTAAACCTTTATTTGATCAAGAATGGGAAAATATCATCTCCTTTATTTCTGAAGAAAAAATGTGTAAATCACTTTATAAAGAAATCACAGTTGAAAATAACCTTTTCAAGACAATGGTTTAAAGGGTACGGTTGTGAATCACGAAAAGGTTTAAAGGGTACGGTTGTGAATCACGAAATGCCAATCATAAATGGAGATTTACTTGAAGTAACATATACAGTTTCTTTAAACCAATTTGTATCTGTGCATATTCTTGTGCATTTAACCCTATCCCTGCTGGGGTACTTGAAAACCAGGATATGCTGGGGGACCCCCCTCTCTAAATCCCATGTTTTATGTCCAAATATGACAAATGATACATCATTAGAAAGCTCTTGTGCTCTACTTTTAGAATCTGCAAAAAAAATTTGCAAATTTGCAAATTTTTTATTGCAAAATCCAGTTATATAGTAAAACTGTTTGCAAAAAAAAAATTGTCCAAAAAATAAAAAATTATACATTTTTGAAAAGCCCTTGACAATCAAGAAAAACTAAAAATGTGCAAATTTCCTTTGACAGGTCGTTTGCAAAAAATTTGCAATTTTTTTTCGCAAAACTTATGCAATCCGTTTCCTTATGTCATAGGCTTTCCAAAAAGCTAAATTTTATCAAAATCTGACAAGTGAAAGTGGGTTAAAACAAAGATTTAGTTTGTTACAGGCAAAAGCAGTCATTCAGGCAGTTAGTATTAAAGCCCGGTTTTAGGCCTAAAAGGAGGGCTTTGGGTATGCAAGAAAAGTCAGAAAATTTCAACAGCCTCAGACCAATACTTTTTGAGTTATATGAAAAAACTACAGGGGGGGTCAGATTGACCCCCCCCCCCAGCAGGAATAGGGTTAACTTCAAACTTAGACTTATATTGATATTAATTCAAATACATATTAGACTAGCTGAAGTGGCCGGCACTGCCCGTGGAATTTTCAGAAAAAAAACTTTTAAATTTTGAAAAAATCGATTTTTTTTAGCATCTGTTACCCCAAGGGTTTTCATGAGTTTCCACACAAAAAAATTCATGAGTCTAGAGCTTTATTATATATTATGATAAGCATGATTATTAACTGTTTAAAGTCTCCGAATTGAGAAAGGAAATGAGTCTTTGCCACAAACTCTGATTTTCTAATTTCTATATCTTTGCAATACAATGTCGTAAATTAGATATTTTAACCTTTGTATTCTGGTAAATCAAAAAATCTAAGTTTGAAATATCAGAGGTGTACAACATCGGGTTCTAAATATATACGGTTCTGATGATATGAGAATTAGAAAATTTTAGTTTGTGATGAAAACTCAATTCCTTTTTATAATATTTAGTTTAGAAATTGTAACAAATATAGCCAATTCAATCTAGATATTTAATAATAAATAAATAAACAATGATTTATCGAGATAAAATCAAAGATTGATTCATCCGTTCACAAATAATTTCTCACAAAGAAAGAAACTATTTTACAGTTGAGGAGATTAAATAATCTAATTAAAAGACCGAAAATTATGAAAAAATTATCAATTTCGCAAACTTATATACTCTATCTTATAAACAAAGTTGAAGGGGTTTAAATTCAACTTATAAAATTGAACTTATACTCAAAAACCTGTTTTTAGATTTGAAAAATTCTGCTGTTATTGGAATCCATCTGAGTCCTCTGGAGTAATTGCTGCAAAAAGGTTTGGCTTTATTGTATAAAAGGTTTGGATTTATTGCATAAAAAGGTTTGGATTTATTGTATAAAAAGGTTTGGATTTATTGCATAAAAAGGTTTGGATTTATTGTATAAAAAGGTTTGGATTTATTGTATAAAAATTTTTCTAAAATGTGTGTTGCTTTTTTTAAACCAGGGCAAAGTTGTGTTAACTTATTGTTTGATATTTAACGTTATGTTAACGAATTTACGCACATAAAAGGTCTGCCTTTTACGCTAATTAAACTGTTAAAGGGACTGACTGGCCGGGTATTGTAGTTAAACTGGGAGTGCAGTGTTATAATATAAAATACCTGTAAAACTTAGTCATTAACGGACTTTTCCGTTAGTTTTTAAAATTTTTAAATTTTTAAAAGCCTCCGTTTCTAAAACGAAGCTTTGCACAGCCTGATATATTTCTCTATAATATTGAACTCTAAGTTCAACTACCACCAGGTACTCTCTTTAACTGGCGCGGAACTGCCCAGCCCTACAATAAAATATCTACAAAATCAATTATCTAGTGGTTCTAGCTGGAGAGTAAAAATGCGGGAAATTATGGAAAAACATTTCAGTTCTCAACCTCAGGACCAAGGTAATTTTAAAAAAGAAAATTTTGTAACTTTTGTAAAAGTTGTTCCATAGAATTTTCGTCATAGTATTTTAGTATTTTAAGATCAATGATATAAATGAATAAAAAATCGATGACTTTAAGAAACGATTTCTGTTTTTATGATTACTCAGATCAAATTTGCACGTAAGATTGAAATCTTATCTGTTTTAAATCATAACTCCTCTTATTGAAGAGATATTGAAAGAAAACTTTGAATTTCTTATATTTGTAACCGGGATAAAGGAATTAAGGTTTTGCCACAAACTCTGATTTTAATTCTTATGTCTTTGAACCTTAATGCCGTAAACCTAAATAATCATTCGTTTATTAAAATCGTTTGTTTAGTAAACAAATTATCGTTTTTTTAAAGTTTGTTTTAAAAAATCGTTCATTCTGTAAACAAACGATTGTTTTTTTTAAATCTTTCGGAAAATTCGTTTGTTCAGTAAAAACATATTATCGTTTTTTTCAAATTCGTTAAAACGAACGATTTAGAAATAGTTAATGAACGATCAATATCGTTCGAACGATTTTAAATTGTTTGCTTTGTTTTTGGCGGTTTTTCATATCTCTGAACAGTCCAAGTTCGTTTATCGTTCTTATTTTCTGAAATTTCGTTCGATCTTAAAAACGCTGCTACCTCTGTGTAGCACTCTCAGGGGCTAAGAAGAAAAGATCTAAAAATGTATGTTTTTGTTTTATTTCTCATTTTATTTAAAATCCTAAATTGTAATGCGTTAGTGGAAAATGGGGTTAAGAGATAAAGATTTTATGCACTTCAATTTTAGAAAATTTAAATTTAAAAGATTTAGAATTTAAGTTCAAAAGATTTATTCTTAAAAGGACTATAAGCGTGATTTCAAGTGATCCTCTATACAAAAGTGCCAATGCTCGATTAACAACGGTACCCTTTAAAGCTTTTAAATGTGAATTAGATATAAATGTTTTTGTTTCCCAGCAAAAGTGGCTTGGGAATGTCTTTCTTTAAAGGAGCTATTCCACTTTTTTGATCTGCTAGATGCTTCAACTTCAACCGTTGCAAATCGGCATTGTCATCTTTCCATGGAGGGTCACTTCAAATTATGCTTACAGTCCCTTTTTTTGGAAAATCTTCAGATTCTTTTATGTTGGACTTAAAAGGTTTCAAAAGGTTAACTTCAAACGGAATTATAAAATTGTACTGCAGAGTTCTTTCTGTTTAAAAGTACTCAAGGGCGTACGAGAGCATTTGTGTAGAGGGTGCACTGTTTGCGCGTGTCAGTGCGAAAAAAATGGTGGTGCCCCCCCCCCTTGGCAACATTATGAATCAGATTTGAAATTGTGTCTGAAGTCACTTTAAACCTCTAAATTGATTCTATATTAATTAAACTGCTCTGGAGGTTTGTCAACTTTGAAAAGAAATGAAAAAAAAAATTACAAAATGATTTTTTTTTAAGATAATGAAAAGCTTAAAAGTACTGCCTCAAAAAACGGTAATCCGAGGTTTTTTACAACAAATCTCCAGATGTAATGTTAAATAAGCCCCCACCCCCCGCCTCCCAGGAGGAAGCACACGTAGAGGGGGGGGGGGGCGTGCACCCAGGCCCCCCTCGTACGCCGCTGGGCTATTGGGTTAATCAATTTCTTTTCTTAATTAATAATTTTTATTTATTTATCGTATTTATCGTATCTTTCTTCAGAAATTGATCTTTTCTACACATTTCTAAATTGTTCTCTAGGCCACACCCAATTTTCGCAATTTCAAACAAAATTTTCCCAATTTCCAACGAAATAATATTAATTTTCAAATGTTTTCGGTCAGTTCAATATTTCGAAAAAAATATTAGTTTCTTTTAAAATTGTTAATTTTAGCTGTTCTGAGTCCATTGAGTGGGAAAGTGAAAATCATGATGAATCGGTCTATTGCAGACGGCGCCCCTCGACTCCTTTTTGACTATCAGGTATATTAAAAAAAACTAAAATTTAAAAAATCTTCCAAATCCTTTTAACGATATTTCGTTTTTAATTTTTCAAAAGCACCGTCGACAATATGTTAAAAAACTACCAACAAATGATCGTTTTAAGACTGTCTTTTTCTGGAAAAAGATCAATTTCGTCAATTTTCATCTTTGTTTCTATTCGGCATAGTTTCAATAGTCACTTTTACAGAGAAACTGTGATTTCAGATAGAAAAACAAGGATATCATTTTTGCACAGACAAAATTTTGAATAAGACCCTTGTAAATCGGATATGGCATTATTTTGAATGGAAGGTAGCTTGAAATTTGTTTCTACAGTCCCTTTAATTTTTCAGGAAAGAAAAAATTTCTTTGTCCTTTTACGCGTTTGTATTTATATTTATTTAGTTTTACTGTCTAGTTTATTCTCGAATCCTGAATAAAGGATTGTGTGAAATGTTTATGGATATAAAACGATAAACTGTGGAAATGGTTTATTTATTCAACAAGAAGATAAACACATTTTCTATAACCAAGGATTTTTCTTTACCACAAACTCTGATTTTCTAATCCATAAATTTCATGCAACACAATGAAGTAGACCTAACAGTTGGGGAACTCTAACACTTTATCGCCCACAAACCCGAGCATTAGGGGGTTTTGGGCGTTTTCTGCCTTATAGAAAGCGAGCATTAGGCTTAATGCTCGTTTTTTGCCTTTTAGAAAACGCCCAAAACCCCCTTATGCTCTGGTTTAAGGGCGAGAAAGTGTTTCAGAACCCCAACTGCCTAAGATATTCTAAACTATGAATTATGTTAAATTAAATAATTTAAGTTTAAAGTATCAATAGTTTTAATCAATATATATCTATATATCAAGATATAAGGATAATTAAATTTAAGTTTGTGGCAACGACTTAATAAATAAAGAACTGAAAAAATATTTAAATTTGGCCTTCCGTTTATAGAGTTAAATGATTGTATCACAAACTCTTTATATGATTAAAATTGGGAAGATATATTGTCATTTTTCCATCTTGAAAAAGGTTTATTATGATAATTTCCACAATTTTTCTGCAGCAGAAATGCGCAAGTTCACAACGGTACCCTGCAAACTTATATCTTTAAAAAGTGTTAAGTTTTGACAACTTCCTTCATTGTCTTGCCACCATAAATACTAAAAGGGGAACTTAAATTGAAAAGGTTTAGAGTTTGCTTTGCTAAGGATCAATATCATACCATGATACAAATACAAGACTTTAATCTAATTTAGTTGAAAGAGATCAAGGTTTGCTTGACTAAGGATCAATATCATACCATGATGCACATACACAAGTTTTTAATTTGATTTAATTGAAAGATTTAACTTAATTTGATTTAGTTGAAAGAGATCAAGGTTTGCTTGTCCAAGGACCAATATCATACCATGATGCAAATTCAAGCCGCTCTGAAGTTCCTCCAGCTTTCAAGGTACAGTCATATCCAATAAAAACGGAATAATTGTCGTCTTCCCTTTCCTTTTACAATAGAGTATAAAAATAGTGATAAAAAAAAAAACAGAAAAAAGTTGCACTCCGCTCAAACATTCAAAACATAACATTGTTAGAAATCATTTGTTTACTTTTTTACTGATAGTCTTCTGCAAAATTGTCTCGGGAATATTTACAGAAATGTATTAGTTACAAATAAATAATTAATCTAATATGCTTTGGAACTTAATTATTTGGACGGAATGAATATTAAATTGTGAATGAGAAAAACTAGTTCTTGAAAATTATAACAAACAAACTTGCCTTGTGTTGTCAGAAGAGACAATATGCCAGATTTTAACCATGTTGTATAAAATTTTAAATGTGCAAAAACAAGACTATCTTTAAGCCCGGTTTTGTCACAATAAAATATCTCTCATATGCCTCGGTATACATAGGAAACATGTTATTCCAAGGAATCATGCAATTGAGGGTAAAAGGGATGTGAATAGCAAAAATAAATGTTATTTTATTTTAGAATTTACCGAAAATATCGACCTAGACAATCTATTTTCTCCAAACCAAGGCATTGGTGGAACTATGCATACAGGTAAATGAACTTTTACAACAACAACAAAATTTTTAAAAGAATATTTTTTAGAACATTTTTTGTTTAGGTGCATTAAGCAGCAGTTCATTGAGCCATACTATTGGAGTAATATTAAGAAACATAGAGAAAAATACAGGTATATTTTTAAAGGATCAATATTACTCTTTACCGGAGAATCACAATTTAATACAGAAGAAGTTACTTTTATTTTACAATAAAATTTGAAATATTTATAAATACTAGAAATTCAAGGCGCTTCGCGCCCTTCTTTCTAGCCTTAGAGGGCGCTTCGCGCCCATCTTCTAAATTAGTTGTGAACATGTTCTCTTTGTGTACATCGTAAAACAAAACAAAAATAATTCGCGGATTTTTACAAAAAATTTCGCGGATTTTCAAAATTTTTAAAAATTTAACGACGATCGAATTTTGATGGAGACAAATATTTGAAATTTTGATTTTTCATAAACCTTCCCTGGGGTCCCTAGATGTCCCACAAACAAACAGACAGACAGACAAGCCAAATTTATATATAGATAGCATATGTTGCTCGCGGTTTTTTTTAATGATTTGTAATGTGCTCAGTAATGAGACATAATGATTAGAAGACTGTTTTTTTATTAGATCAAACTACCATTTAAGATTGATTGAACTTAAAAATTTAAAAATTGATTTTTCATTGACAATTTTTTAGTCTGGTTACTGATTAGAAGATTGATCTTTAGATTGGTTGAACAGTTCTTGATTAGATAATTGATTTTTAAGTTTGCCGACCATTTTCTTTAATCAAGAACTGAATTATTAGATAATTGATTTTTAACTTTGCTGACCATTTTATTTATTCAAGAACTGGATTATTAGATTATTTACCACTAGCTCAAGTGCCCAGCGTTGCCCATGGAGAAAGAAAAAAAATGGATTTTTTAAGAAAATTATTTTTTTCGATTTATAAACAAAAAAATATATAAACACGGACGAAGGGCTTTATCATATAGATTTAGATTGATACAAGTTGGTCGAAAAAATATATAAATGATTTTTTCAGGGTTTTGTTTGGACTCTGGTTAAAGCGCCATCAGGTTGGAAAAAGTTCAAGTTTGAAGGCAAAGATCAAAGAAGCAGAAACTGATCTTGATGTTACCAGTATAATGCTGGCTAGGGAACAGGCTAAATATCAGGTATAATGATCTTGATGTACCATTATAATGCTTGCTATGGAACAGGCTAAATATCAGTTGTCTTGATGTTACCAGTATAATGCTGGCTAGGGAACAGGCTAAATATCAGGTATTTGATCTTGATGTTACCAGTATAATGCTGGCTAGGGAACAGGCTAAATATCAGGTATATGATCTTGATGTTACCAGTATAATATTAGCTAGGGAGCAGGCTAAATATCAGGTTTATGATCACAGTCCCTTTAAGGACAAAAACAAACAAAAATTATAGATTGAAAGTCAAAAAGTTAAAATTTTAGGGCCCGCAATACTTGAATGAAATCGCCAACAAAACTGATATTAAATTGTGGATTTAGGATAATATCATAATATGATACTACTGACAGAGGAGAAGCTTCTCTCAAAAATTAAACTGATTTTGAATTAGATTTAGGCCACGATGATACTACTCAAAAGTCCAAAGAAATAAGAGAAGAAGCTTCTCTCAAAAATTAAACTGATTTTGAAATAATTTTTTTGGCCAAAGACGCTACTACTGAACAGCCTAAAGAAGAAGGAGAAGATACTGCTCTCTAAAATGAACCTGATTTTAAAATGTTTGATTTAGACCAAGATGATATACTACTGAACAGTCCAAAGAAGAAAGAGAAGAAGTTGATCTCTAAAATAAAATGGATTTAGAAATATTTGATTTAGGCTAAGATCTTATCAGTACAAAGAATAAAGAGAAGAAACTGCTCTTGTTAATGAAACTGATATTAAAATGTTTGATTTAGGCTAAGATGATACTTCTTAACAGTCCTAAGAAGAAGGAGAAGAAACTGCTCTCAAAAATGTCTCGAATGTCCGGAATGCTTTCAGAAAAGAAAAAACAGGTTTTAAAATTTAATACAATCAAATAAATGTTTTAATTCAAAATGACCGGTACAAGCGGAATTGACTCTTTGTCAAAAACTCTGATTGTACAATCCCGATGTTGTATACCTTGGACATTTCAAACTATGAATTCTTTTATATAAAAAAATCTAAGTTTAAAATAATAAAGATTTACATCATAAGGGATTATAGAATTAGAGTGTGTAGCAAAGGCTCAATTTCTTTGTAACTGATGTGTCTAACATATTTCTTAAACTTTTATAATTAATAAAATTGTTAAAGATTTTTCTTGTAAATGATTTCAATTTGTGCAATTAGTAAGAAAAAATAATGTATACTTCATTGGCTGTATTTTTGTTCTTGGGACCAGGTATGAGTAAGTGTCATATGTTCCATCCAGAATGAGAAAAAGTCTTGCAAAAAAACTTCCTGTCACTGCCACACAAACATCAGTATTTTAGCACTTGAATCAGTATAAGAATTAAATTGATTCATGTAACAGTTTCAAAAATTTAGATCTTAAAGGGAGGTCTGACTAGACACTGTAGTTGAGCTGAGAATGCAGTATTGTAGAGAAACCAATTGATACCTATAAAATGTTTTTAAGGTGTAAAAGTCAGAAAACAAAATAGATCTTTAAAATCCTCTTTGAGAGACAAACTGTCCGGGCAGCCGTGCCGGACCAGAACTTGCAAGCCAGCCATGCTACAACACAACCTGCCTGGGGGAGAGTGCCAAAAAGGATTTTAAAGATCAATTATGCTCTCTGACTTAGCAATTAGACACCGTTCAAACTTTTCAAATGATTTCTTAAAAATTCTCTACTATACTGCATTCTCAGATCAACTACCATCTCTAGCCAGACAATTCTCTACTATACTGCATTCTCAGATCAACTACCATCTCTAGCATGAACTTCAACGTATAATCACGTAATTTCTATTTAAAGTACTTAAATTTGATTTCAGAATTACCCATACATTGTGATTTCCGTCAATTGGAGAGATTATTTATAATTTTAAGCGCTAGGACAGTTAGAATCTATTTTTTGGAAACAAATACAAAAATTGTAATTATACTTTTTATCTCTTTTTATCTTTCTAGGCTATGGGTTGCTGTTTTGAGAATGATGACACCATAAAACCAAAAACTTATATAGGTTAAAGATTATAAAAAAAATTCCTATTTAATGTAACCCTTTATTCAAAGAATTTCAAACAATACAATATAAATAATGGAGATATCTTTGTTTTCTATCCAAATTGATTATTGTCTAATGGGAATTCTCTCTTTATGAAATTGCAGATATTCCCAGAATTTAATACTTTTAAGAAATATAACAATATCTTTGTTATTGTTACACAGATAAAGTTTTGAATTGTGAATGGAACATGGACCCTTTGAAGAAAGGTTTACTTGAAATACTGCTGACAGTATTGTAAACTATTCAAGAAAATAGAACTAAAACTGTAATATAATTTCAGAGCATGTCTTCAACTTCAGTGTAGGACGATGCATCATCCGGTTAAAACCAGTTTTTGTTTGGACTGTAACAGGATTCTCTGTCTGTGTAGAGACAAGGTGGGAATTATAAATACAATTTTAGATGTTACTTTAAGTGATCCTCTATTATGGACGTTACTCTAAACCCATTAATACTCTTAATTAATTAAACAATAATAGAATAAATTTATACGTGTAAAATAATCAAAAGAGAAGGGCAAAAGGAATTGAGTCATTGTCACAACTCAAATTTTCTAATCCCTATATCTTTGCAACCTGATGCTGTAATCCTTTGATATTTCAAACTTAGATTATTGTATCTAACAGTATAAATAGTTTGAAACAGCTACAACATTGGGTTGTAAAGATATAGGGATTAGAAAATCAGAGTTTGTGGCAAAGACTCAATTCCTTTGCTCAGAAACCTGGCTGAGCACTTAGTTTTCATTTTAATATATTTTCACGATAGGTATATTAATAATCGTTTATGTGAGTTTTAAAATTAAGCGTCATTCAAAATGGTTCGCTAAATAACAACCACTTCTAAAACACAAACATTTTATAAGTAAGGATTGAAACTTTTCTCCTTGTAAGTTTTGCTGAGAATAACGAATCCATGCAGTGCTATACATCCTCATAAAGAGAAATGTTTACTTTCCTGTTAAGTACTTAAAACTTTTCAAACTGTATTTGTATGAATTTCTATAAAGTTTTAACTTTTAAAATCGTCTTTTATCTTAATCAAAATGTTGTTATATAATTATTGATAAATATTAAGGCCCTCCGCACTGGCGTATACAGTTGCTACAAGAACAGAAGATATGCATATATCAACAGAATATGGAGATAGAATACTGGCTACCAGTAACCTTCTCTACAATACAGGTATATACAAGAACTAAGCATATATCAACAGAGTATGGAGATAGAATACTAGCTACCAGCATCCTTCTCTACAATACAGGTATATACAAGAACTAAGCATATATCAACAGAATATAAAGATAGAATACTAGCTACCAGTAACCTTCTCTACAATACAGGGATATATGAGAACTAAGCATATATCAACAGAATATGGAGATAGAATACTAGCTACCAGTAACCTTCTCTACAATACAGGTAAAGACAAGAACTTAATTTCTGTTTATAAAAAATATATTTTTTTAATAGATCCTGGTTGGCCTAATGTATTCTCCTTTGTATTTGAGAAGAATCCCTTGGTGACAAATACAGATTACAGGTAGAAAACTTAAACCATGTTTTTTTTTGCTTTTTTTACAATATTTTTTGTATAGGCTAGAGATGCGCTTGCTTCCCCTCCATGTATTTTACCAGGTTAGAAAAATTATTTTGTCAAATTCGAAAAATTTTCAAAAAAATAAACAATTTGTTATCTCTGTAATACAGCTATAGGGAGGCAATAGAGATGATTTGGGTGGGACCCAACGATTCCATTAGCACCTCATCCAATCAGGGTTCAGCCATGTACTTGGTGTATATTCTGAACCAATAGAAATTGCATGGCAGTATCATCTATCTTTCTATCTATCTTATTTCCAATTAGAAATTTCCTAAACAGTAAATAGAAATATTTACTTCTACTGAAACTAAAGTGCAACAAGGTCGAGTAAAGCCAAAGCGATGTAATATTCCTTCCTATTGCATTGCATCCCTATTGCGATCCATGTAATGAAGAAAAGCAGAAATGCAATGTAACATTGCATCTCTGGTTATAGGGTTGCAATGTATGGATTCAGCACCGTTATAATTTGGTTGGAAAAAATATTTTGGAACGGTCCAATATTTTACTAAATAATCCTACAGACTTGTACAATGTACATACTTTATATCCATGAAACTGTGGAATAGGAAGACGACTGACAGACTCAAAATATGTGTTAAAATACAGGGTGTCCCAAGAAACATGACACCCTGTATGAATGGTTTAAATGTCTTCTTCCATAATTTGTTAAGTTGTTTTATACGAAAGAGAATAATAAAAAATATTGTATGGTAGTCATCTCAAAGTAAATTAATTTCAACGTAAAATATATTTGAGTAAAAGATTTTTTAATAAATGAACTACAAAAAGTCTTTAATATCTAATACAGAATATGGCAGAAGACATTCAAAACTATTCACCAACTGTCATGTTTCGTGGGACACCCTGTAGTTCAATGAACAGCAATTGTGCAGTGTTCACAGACCCATTTAATTCACTTAATTAGTTATTTTTTAATTTTTTAAATGTCGTCGTGCTACTCCACTGTTTTATAGGTCCCACTGTATAAAATAATATAATTTTTAGGAAATTGTTGGCTCAGAACTTCTAGATTTCTTTTTCCTTCCCAATACTGATTCTTTAGAGGTAAATTGTTGGCTCAGAACTTCTAGATTTCTTTTTCCTTCCCAATACTGATTCTTTAGAGGTAAACTTCATCTATCAAAATTTAACCAAAATAGATTATTTTTTATATTTCTATAAACAGGAGAGTTGGCGTGACAGTTTCAAGTGACCCTCCATATTTATAGATTGACGTGTCCGATTCACAAGGGTACCAGCTTTAAACCAAAAATTATGAGATATCCTTATTTTACTATGTAAAAATTAGAGTAGCGATTTCTCCCGGCCTCATGCTATATACTCACTTAGAGGTTTAAAGGCATCGTTGTCACGTTGTGCAGTTAATATAATATTAAAGGGATTGTAAGCGTAATTTCAAGTGACCCTCCATATAAAGATGACAATGCCTGATTCGTACAACGGTATCATTTAATCTGATAAAAAAGTGTTTACTCCTCCATTAATTTTTATATATAAGCAAGAAATATGCATGTCACTTTTAAAGATAACCCGCATGCAAATGGAAAAGAACAGTTAAAAGAAACAAGGATATCAAATTTATACTTGATCAGAGGTCGAATTTAAAGAATCTGAGCCGCGGCTTAAATTTGCGACTCGACTCAAATATGGTTGTTTCCACTTAAAATTGTATTCAATATTTAAGCCAGCGCTCAATTAAAACCGGTTTTTGGCGGATTTGAGACGCGGCTCAAATTCATAAAATTCGGACTCAGAAAAGGCGTTTTAGGGTACCGTTGTAAAAATCGGGCATTGTCATCTTTGCATGGAGCGTCACTTGAAATCACGCATACAGTCCCTTTAAATGCAGATTCACATGAAATAACGTTAACAGTTCCTTAAATACTGTATTTTATCCAAGGTTACATGGGGTGTGATATACCAGTCGTATCTGTATGCTAGACAGTTTTCTCGCTTTGTCCAGAACTGTCTTAATTCAAGGTAAACTATATGAACATTTTAGGAAAATTATTAACACTCAGCATAAATTGTTCATGTAAACGGGCAAGAAATACAAATTACAACTATTTTAGAGCTGAAAAAATGTTTTCAAAAATTATAGATTATTATTCATTGGTTTATATTGAATTTAAATGTGTTTTTTTAAGCCAAAAATTAATTTTGTAGACTCTGACGTAAATCGGATTTCAAACTGGATATTTTGACACTTTTTAGTACCGATTGATAATATACTTTCTGACAACCATTTCCCTGTTAAGAATGGCCTGTTTCTCTGTTAAGAATAACCTGTTTCCCTGTTAGGAATGACCTGTTTTACTGTTAAGAATGACCTGTTTACCATGTTCAGAATGACCTGTTTACCTTTTAAGAATGACCGTTTTACCATGTTAAGAATGACCTGTTTATCTCTTAAGAATGACCTGTTTACCATGTTCAGAATGACCTGTTTACCATGTTCAGAATGACCTGTTTACCATGTTCAGAATGACCTGTTTACCATGTTCAGAATGACCTGTGACCTGAAAGTTGACCTACATAATCCCTGCATTGAGATCGGGCAAATGGGAACCATCTCTACAGACGCTAATAAACTAGTCATTCATTGTGGGCATCTTCAAGTAAGTATAACATTGTAACATTGTTAAGACTGTAGATGTAAATTCAAGTGACCCAACAGTTTAATAAGAGTTCGATTCACAACGATTCCTTTGAATGCTGTATTTAGTCACGAAATAATGAGATATCCATGATTTTTCTGTAAAATGACTTTTGGATTTCTCGCTACGAGAGAATGATAGACATTGTGAGAATTAAACACTTTAAAAACGAAGATATCTTCTTCATTATTAATAAGATAAATGTTTAAAGGATGCTGTTGTGAATCGGGCTCACTTGAAATTACTTTTTAATCTAGCAAATATCACATTTGTTTAATATATTAAAGGGATATGACTTCAGGTTGTAATAATAAAGAAATTAGAATATCAGAATTTATGATTTGCGTTCAGACACTGATAGAATATCGGAAAATCTGTGTAATAACATTTTTAGAAATGCCTAAAATGAACATGATAGAATCAGAAATAATTAATAGAAAAGGTTTCATACTCAAGCTTAACAAAATTTTAGTGTGAATTTATGAAAAAAAAATATCACTTGTTTTAATACAAAAAGTAAAAAAAACTCAAAAAATATACTTTTAACAGTTTAAACTCTAAAACAATAGATTTTTTGGATAAAAACTGAACTAAATATCTTTTAGTTAAGCTGCGTCAGATCAGAGAAACAGTGTGAGAATGATCACACTGGCTGTTCGACTAATCTATCAGGATGTGAGAATGGCTTCACAAGATGTGAGGAGCATGTGAGAATTATCTCCAGGATAGAGTGTTTAGTGACAGGGATGGCTGTTATACTAGCTCCTGGAGCTAAATCCTTTCCAGTTCTTACTCAGGACCCTTCCTCAGGTCATTAGTTAGAGATTCTATTATTGAAGGGACTGGAGCTAGACGTAGTGTCAAGTGACTCTACTGTACAATTCACAGCAGTACCCTTCAAAACATGGCATGGATTGTATACACAATTGTCCGCAATAATATAGTTTTTAAACTTTTGTGTATTTCACAGCATTAAAAGAAAAAAACTTTACAATAAAAAAAATTGAAAAAAATAAAGATATTAAAAAAGGAAAACTATTAAAATAATTTTTGTTGAGCAATTTTTAAACCTTATTTCAACAAAAAAAAGTACTGAGGCATGGAAACCATTTCGAAATATTTGAATTATTACTGAAAAGTGAAAATACAAAAAAAATTTGTTTAGAATATCACCTGGTGCCAAATACAAAAGCTGAGCTGACCCTAAGCTCAGTATCCCCCCAGCAGCCCTGGGTTCTTGACATCTTCATCAAGTGTGTTAAGCTTAACCTGTCAGGTAAACAGTGGATGTCTAAAGATGGGTATTGATTTTATTAACAAACGAACTTTTGAGAAAGTACAAAGATTTTTAATAAATGAACAATTTTTCTACAAACTTTTGAAAAACAAACTTTTTTTTACTCTAAGAACTATTATGCTGTAAAAACGATTTTACTGTGAGAATTATTTTACTGTAAGAACTATTTTACTGTAAGAACGATTTTACTGTGAGAACTATTTTACTGTAAGAACTATTTTACTGTAAAAACGATTTTACTGTGAGAAATATTTTACTGTAAGAACTATTTTACTGTCAGAACTATTTTCCTGTAAGAAATATTTTACTGTAAGAACTATTTTCCTGTAAGAACTATTTTCCTGAAAAGAACTATTTTACTGTAAGAACTATTTTACTGTAAGAAGTATTTTACTGTGAGAATTATTTTACTATAAGAACTATTTTACTGTCAGAACTATTTTACTGTAAGAACTATTTTACTGTGAGAACTATTTTACTGTAAGAACTATTTTACTGTAAAAACGATTTTACTGTGAGAAATATTTTACTGTAAGAACTATTTTCCTGTAAGAACTATTTTACTGTAAGAACTATTTTACTGTAAGAACTATTTTCCTGTAAGAACTATTTTACTGTAAGAACTATTTTACTGTAGGAACTATCTTACTGTGAGAATTATTTTGCTGTAAGAACTATTTCAAATAATGTGAGAAAATTTCGTTTTCCTTGTTATATTTGACACCTGCAACGTCGTGTATAATTAGTCCATTTCTCTATTGCCACCAATTGTACTTGATAATCTATTTGATTGATATAATTTTTATGTTTGTTATTATTGGTATCATTGGTATTATTGTTATTATCGTTATTTTTTCTTGTCCAATTTTTCCTTTCGTTTTTTTACATTATTGTTGATGTTATAATTGTAATTATTATTCATATTTTTTTGTCTATTTTTCTTTTAAATATCGTAGATAAGAGGGTTGGTGAAATTATTGATTTTCTGCGAGACCTGCCTCTGCCCCAGCGAGCTGTCCTGCCTAACCTGGATACTCCTATACGGTCAGTTTAAAGAGAGTGTTCCCTTTTTAATATTATGTATGGATATGTTTGGTTTGGTAATCTCGGTAACATATTATCGTGAAAAATATTGATTAAATTTTCCGTAAGCGTAAAGATGAGACTATAATGCAAGAGATGTAACATTCTAAAATCTAAATATCTCTGACGCATGATTTATTGATTGATTTTAGGTCGTCTTTGTTGTGAAAAATCCACAGAAGCGACGATAAAATTTTTTAATCAATTATATCTATTAGAAATGAAAAATAAAAAAATAAAATTATAACAGAAGCAAAGCTGAGGTTCTCAGCTTTTTCATGGGTGTAGACGTTTTTATATTGGTGGCGTATTTTTTTAATATGATGTATTTAATACTACAACTTTTATACCAAATCTGGCATATGCCCGTTTTGGTATAATTTCGACACAGTTTTATGTCAATTTCTCGAGACAGGAACATCAGATAGATGTCTTCAATGGTATCGTTCAAAAGCTGAGAACCTCAGCTTTCATCCTATACCCCCTTTCATTTTTCCTTTACTGTCCCTTTAAAGGGACTGAGAGCGTAATTTCAAGTGACCCTTCATGCAAAGATGGCAATGCCCGATTTACAACGGAACCCTGTATACTGTCGTTTTCCTGACTCAAAGTGTTTAATTCGGATAATTTTTTCTATTTCTTCTTATTATCAAGAAATGCGCAAGTCACTTTTTGCAGAGAAACCTTAAATGATCAAAAACAGTTTAAAGGAAAAAAAACATGGATATCTAATTCATACCTGATTAGACAAAGCTTTTAAGGGTTCCCTTGTGAATCGGGCATTGCCATCGTTGCATGGAGGGTCAATTTAAATTACACTTACAGTCCTTTTAATACCAAGTTTTTGAACTAGAATCACTCTTTCCCCTATATCTTCAAAACACAATGTCGTAGACCTTAGATATATCAAACTATGTTAGATAAAATAGTTTAATTTTTTTAAAAAGTAAGTAATTTTTGATTTATAAAAATAACATAAAAAATATAAGATGAAGTGTTTCAGAAGAAAATATTTAAAACCTCCAAAATGCAAGGTTATAATGCAAGGAACGTTAATTGCAGTTGCGTATCCTCATCGTACATATTGAAACCAGTTTTCTCCGGGGGGAATTTGTAAACAAGAATAGATGCATCAGTGTTCGTTTATTATCCAAGGTGGATAAAAGCATTTAATCATAATAATTTTGATAATTAACGTAATAGTTTCCTATTTCATTGATTTTTTAAGTGAAAGATGGATCCCATGTCAGGCTGTGACATCCGTCTTGTGTTTACATTACCGCCCAGAGACAGTACACTGCAGTACAAAGATGCGTATTGCGTACACCTCTGAAATAACTTAAATAAAGATTAGAAAAGTTGAGGAATTCCAAAAGTGGTTTTATACAACCTTGTCAAAAATAGAACGTTTCAAAAAAATGTTATTTTTGTTTTATTTTATGTTTTATTTCAGTTGGAAGATTGACAAAAGATGGACTGTGCCTAATATTGGTAAATTAGAACTTCTATACTTGGAAACACAACTTTCTACCCAACAACAAGAACAGCAGCAACATGAAAAACAACAACAGCACAAACAAAGTTTCAAAAATCACGACAACAAAGATGTTCAAAAGCGAAGGTTTGCAACTTCAAAATATTATTTCTATATTTTTTTAGGAGCCGGAAAGTTGCCCCTCCCGGATCTGGATTAGTTGACCCGGGTGTTGATATCTCCGGATATTGTGCTGCTGTGGATCTCCCTGGTCTAGAGGATAATATATCTCCAGGTGAAAGGATAATATATCTCCAGGTGAAAGGATAATATATCTCCAGGTGAAAGGATGATATACCTCCGGGTGAAAGAAATTCTTTATATTTAATTATATGATAAATATAGATTAGTTCCGCCCCCTGATTGGCTATATTTCAATGGGAATTTAGAAAATTACATGTAGAATTACAAAGTTTTTGGAATTACAAAGTTTTTGGATATTGATTTGAATTTTCCGCACATTTTTAAATCAGATGACTGATTTAATGATGTTACAAAGATGTGATGATTTTTAAATTAGATTTAATAGTGCACTTAAATATTCTGAAAGTAATACTAGTTTTTTTTATTTCCTTAGGAAGTTGGAAGCTATATTTTTTTTCTGTCTTATTAAACTATCTTCCTGATGATGTGATTTTTGAAATTTCCTTTTTTGTTTTCGTAGAAATTTAATACTTCATTTGGTTTGGGATGAAAATATTTAAAGAAATGATATGTGGATAAAAAGAATTCTTTAATAAGGCTTCAATGGAAAAACATGTTCTTTCCTTTCATGGAAAACTTGTGTTAGAGTTTATCCTAATTTTGGAGAATGGAATTAAGTGTTTGTACAAAACTCTGATATTTTAATCCCAATATCTTTGCAGCCCAATGTCGTAGACCTGAAATATTTTAAACTATGTTAAATCATATATTCTAAGTTATACTTTAAAAAATATCAAAGGTCTACACCATTGAGTTGCAAAGATATAGGGATGAGAAAATTGGAGTTTGTGGCAAAGACTCAATTCCTTTTATAATTTCTACATTTTTAGGAAATCCAATGCGTGCCTTGTTAAAGCTTTCAGTGAAGGATTTGTCTCTTGTCTTCGGAAAGGAAACAGAAAACGTGACAAGGTGAGGAAATTTTGGACGATTTGGACATTTTGGACAATTTGGACACAGCAAACAAAACTTTTGCTCTCGACAGTGCTGTAATGCTTTATTCTTTAAGTTCAAAATATTCCCTAAATATCAGTTTGTAGACTTAAAGAGACAATTGTCGTAATTTTAATAGCGCCATGTCCGATTCACAACGGTACCTTTGAAACCTTTATCAGATTAATAATGTAGATCATTGGTAGTTTTTCAAAATCAGTTTTTCAAAATCAGTTTTTCAAAATCAAACAAAAACTTGATACGTACCTAATTTATACTTGAAGAGACAAAGCTGTCAAGGGTACCATTGTAAATCTGACAAGACATCGATGTAGGGTCACTTGAAATTACGATTACAGACCCAATAATAATAATATTTTTAGAAGTTACCTAAATCTGGCAGTTATGGATTATAGTCTGGATGTTGGTATTCTTCAGTACGGTCCAGCTGTACAGGTAAACGTAAAATACATATATATAGTTAAGATCTTTGTATACATGTACAATACATACTGCCCAGGGCAGTACACTGTACATATTATATACCAAGGAACTATATATATTTCTTGAGTTATAGGGTCATACTGTTCAGTGTACAAATACTTGTTTAATACATACTATACAATTACAGTTTGGATCTTGGTATATGTTTATGTGTAAGTTTATTTTTCGCATTGTACAGTGTACAGACTTTACAGTAGTTGGATCTTGATTGGTGTATATATAGGCGTTTTTACTTTATGTACTTTACAAAATGTGTGTATTCTGCATAACGTATCTATTTTATATTGTGTACAACTTTCTTATATACAATATATATATTTATGTAGTATTTTCAACTTTGTACATTTTAGATGTTTAAATATATATATACAGATGTCTGTTTATCATTTGTGTTATTGTTTACAATCTTTATTATTGTTGTTACGCAACAACTAATTCTTCAGCAGTCCAAAAACGGCACAGCAAAGTGTACGGAAACCCTATCGCCCCCTCCTTCTATTCAATTCCCCTTGAATTAAAAATTGTTTTCAAACCCCAAAAATAAAACGTATTCATTGACCTTTTTGTATGACGAGTTCATGATGTACATGGGGTTGTGCAATTTTCAGCTTTAAAGTCTGCATAAACATCTATTGTAATGTATCTAGGATTGTATCCTTGCTATGATACAAATCTTAGACCTACATCTCTGCATGTTGAGCAATTAGCAATTAGGGCTGCATTGCTTAGGAGTGATTTTGCAATTTTTACATCGGTTAAAAAAATAACAAATGGAGTTTTTTAAGAAACTAGAACAATCAGTTTTTAGAAATTAAGAATATTCCCATTGCCTAGACCAGTTAGCAATAAGATTTTAAATGAGATAAGAATCTGATAATAGAGAATTCTTTCTTATATCTTTAGATTTTCTAATGTGTTACTTAATACTTACTTTTTTCTGACTTGTACCACTAACTGTTAAAAGGGACAACTCATTCAGTGCAGTGCACTGTGCAATTCGGTAAGATACAATTTCAGTGATCCCGAAAGGTCGAGCTGGTACAAGTTTGTAAATTGTGTGTACGGTACACTACAGGCCCTGCCAGTACAAGGAGTGTCACGGTAGGTCGAGCTGGTACAAGTTTTTTTGTGTACGGTACACTACAGGCCCGGCCAGTACAAGGAGTGGCACGGTAGGTCGGGCTGGTACAAGTTTTTTGTGTACAGTACACTACAGGCCCAGCTAGTACAAGGAGTGGCATGGGACATTTTCAACTGTCACTAGAGGTACAAAACGCATGTATACAGTTTAGACCGAGTGGCGTTTTAGAGCATATGTATTATGTTTCAAAATTAATTTTCTTAATTTCAAAATTTTAGAAAAAAATTCGTGTGCTCCCCCATCACATTATTTATACTTTTTTAAGTTTTCACATCTGTTTAGTTTTTCTGTTTGTAGGCTCTCAATATCCTCTACAGATATGTATCACCTAAGGGAAATTTATATCTTTTATGGAAAAAAATTTTTATTTTAAAGGGACTGTAAGCGTAATTTCAATTTTCATTTGTTTTAAAAATAAGGAATTTTGTTACAAATGGGAGTTTACTTCAAAATTACAGCTCCTGCCCCTTTAAAATTCTTTAAATATTTTTATATTTCGGAGAAAAAAGATATAAATAATAAAATTGTAAAGTGCCCAGACTTCTCTTCTCATTTTAAATCCGTTCAACATTCTTTGGTTCTTGATCTCAGTTCAATTCAGGAAACCCCGACATCTATAAAAAGAATACAAATCTTCATCTATATAATAAAACAAGACATTCGTGGCCGGGGGTGTAATAGGCTAAAAAAAATGGAAATTTTTTAAAAAAATTTTTTTCACGGGCAACACCTGCCCTTCAGCTAGTTTATCTATATAATAAAACAAGACATTCATATATATGTTGCGTATAGCCGGCCAAACGGCTGGATCGATTGGGCTGAAATTTTTTGTGGACACTCATGGGTGGCCANGCCGGGCCCTTCAGCTAGTTATTTATAATTTTCAAAGTTTTTGAATTTTTAAATTATTTTTGTTTTCCAAATGAACTCAGTTTTTGCCACAATCTCTTCTTCTGACAACCTAGACAGACCTGTCATAATTCAAACTTTCTAATTACACGATCAAGTTGCAAAGATATCGAGGGATTTGAGTTTGTGGCAAAAACTCAGATCCTCTTCTAAATTTCCTTCATTTTCTAAATTGTCAAAAATTTCTGAATTTCCGAATTTTCTTTAATTTCTGAATTGTGTCCGGTGTTCACAGATTTCCCTGCATCGAAGCTCAATATGGTTGTTTATCAGTGAAATACAAAATATACTCGAAAGGTAATATTTTTTTTACTTGCTAAAATTATTTTAGATTAATTTTTGTTATTTTGATATTGATGAAAATGATTTGATGTTAAAAATATTAAGTTGATTAATAATTTCATAGTTCTTTTAAAAATGTGATGAAAAATTAATGATTAAAAATTAACTCATAAAATGTTGCAAAATTCAATTAATTAGATCCGCTTTGCCGTTTTTTCAAAAAATTTAACTCAAATCTAAAAATATGAATTAATGAAAAAGTAAACACAATCACGACAAATATTTTAAAACAGATATAATATAGATTACTGAATATCAAATAATTATCTTATTTGTGTTTTTAAATATTTTTTTTTCAGAAATAATATAAAAAACTGTGTCCAACCAGTTCTACGCTCATCGAGAACTTTGTGGAAAAAGTTGACCAGTTGGAAACCATTCCAGGTAGCCCCCCCCCCCCGGGACCATTTCAGGTAGATACCTTCACAGTCGCAGTCCCAGCTCCATGAATGATGTTCTCTATTTAAATGTTTCTCAATTTTACTCTTCTTTCTTCTTTTTATGTACATTGTAAAGTAACTCTTCTATCTTAATAAACTATAATGTGTGAGTGTGATAAGTTAAAAATCTAGTTTTTTAGTCTTTAGTTATTAATTTTGACTCTTTTTGAGTCTTTTAAGTAAAAATAAATTTTCGCCTTCGCCGCGTTTTTTGTTCCTAAGTCATGATTTTTTTGCACCTAAATTAATCAAGCAACCCCTTACTTAAATCCTGTATCCGCCCCTGCCAGCGATACTGGGCTGAGGAGCCTCCTCCTGGACACTCTCGATCTCGTCATTCAAATCAGTTTCCGTCCTTTTTACACTAACATTTTTTTCACAAATTAACAAAAGAACAAATGATTAATTCATTTGGAGAAATGATGGAGAAAAAAAAAGAAGCACAACACATTTGTAAAATCGTAAGAATATAAATTTTAGACATCTTCACGCTAAATATAGGACTTATAGATGTCTAACCAAACATGTGCACCAGTCTGAACAAATGCCGCAACTAATTTAAATGTCAGCCGGTTCTATTCTCCGCGTAAAGACTGGACAACATGTAAAAAAGTTAAACCCAGCGGCTAAGGGAAAAATATGCATCTAAAGATTATGATTAAGACGTTGAATCAATGTTTAATCAGATAAAGAAAAACAGTCGTATTTCTCATTTCTGAATTACATCATGGAGTCTTTACTAGACCTCAACCACTCGATAAACCGTTACCGGCTACTGCTCATTTTTTTTCCAAAGAATATATCATACTAATTTATAAGAGAAGTAAAATTTTCTTTTTGAATAAAAATTTGTGAATTTGTTCGCAAAAATTAAGTAATATCGAGGAGTGGGGGCACTGCTCCCTTCCCCCCCTTGATATTCGCTTGGAACTTAAAACTATAAATAACAATGGTTTAGTACTATCAACAGAGTTTCTCATTAAGATAATTTTTACCAAAATAAAAAATTTAAATATTTTCTCTTCTTCAGATTACGCCAGGGTCAGAGGATTCACAGTGTACATTTTTTAGCTCAGCTGTTAGAGTCCATAGATTCTCAGGTATAGTTTAAAACAGATCATTAAAAAACATAAAATTCAAAAAATTTAAATCCAAAAACATTAAATTTAAAAATGTAAAACCCAAAAATAAAAATTTCAAAAACATAATAAATTAAATCTTTTTTTTTAAATTTACAATTGTGTAGATTAATCTAAGAAATAGAAATTTATCAAAAAAATTAAATCTTTAAATCGAATCGAATAAGTTACCTTTTTTAAAAAAAAAGGTAACTTATTTAAAAAAGGGAAGTCATAAAAATTTTGAACAATTTTTTTTAGCCCTTCTTTGTGATACAGAACAAGAGTTTATGAATCTTACTGTATCCGATACAGAGCTAGATACAGTTTACAGGTACAGTTTCCGGGTTACAGTTTACATTTTTTGTTTAAATTGATGGATTGTCAAAAAATTCGAAAATCAATTTTTTCAGTGCAAAATTTTTCAATTTCGGCCAGCTATAAATCTTCCCTTTTGAGTTACTTTAAAATTTGGGTCCAATTTAATTGGTTCAGCCGTTTTTTTGCTTACTAAAATCAAACAAATGTAACATTAAATAAAGACGAATGCTATATGTAGCTGAAAAGATGTAATATTTAATGTAGAAGCTGAAAAGATGTAGATATTTAATGTAGAAGCTGAAAAGATATAGATATTTAATGTAGAAGCTGAATAGATGTAGATATTTAATGTAGAAGCTGAAAAGATAAAGATATTTAATGTAGAAGCTGAAAAGATGTAGATATTTAATGTAGAAGCTAAAAATTACTTACTAAAAATTACCTAAATATTCAGTTTTAAAAATCAATTTTTTTCGGCGGACTTAATGTATTGTAAATTTTAATACTTTTTTTGCACAACAGACATTTTTAAGATTAAAAAATGTTATTTAGGGCGAGTAGTAAACTCATTCTGAGAGTTTTTATCAGAAATTTCCTTGTAGAAGATCTTACTCAGTATACACACTTTCCTAAGGTATGTTTCGGAGACAGATAACTTCTTTAAAGGGACCGTTCACGAATATACAAGAAATAAGAAATTCATCTCATAAAGAAACGACTTTATCTTTCTTATGTAACTCAGATTCCAGGTTTTATGGGTAGCTTGTAAATCGGGTGCAACTCTAAATTTAAAATCAAATTTTTGTTATTTCAAACTTAAATGATGGCCCCAAAGCATCTATCATATGTTTTTGTAAAAGAAATTTAGTCTTGACAACGAGCGCAAATTTTTTTTAATCCTAATATCTTTGCAACCTGATTGTGTAAACCTTTCATATTTCAAACTGAAATTATTTAGAAGAAAACTAAAAAATACCATTTAACATGTTTTCTAAAAAATACCTTTATTTAAGATTATGTGGCTTGAGGAAGGAAATATGCTTGAGATGAGACTGGTTTTAAACCTGTCAAAGGAAACATTTTTAATACATTTTTTCAATTTTTAGTTTTTAAACATTTCAAAATTGTTTTTTTACAATTTTTTTAACTACATGAAAATCTGTCTTTAAATCTTTTGCTAGATTGTCTTGTATTGTTAAAATCTTTCTCAACATCTTTGACAATTGCTAGAGCATGCATTGGGAGTTTTTTTTTACAAAGGTTTAAAACATGTGGTCTGTTTTATTTTGTTATTGTATTATCTCGTGATTGAGTAGAATGCCGAGAATGGTGGATTTCTTAATATTAATATTGGGAATATTCATCTTCTTATTCTTCACAGAGTTTACAGGCTTCTGCAGGTCATTTTAAACAATTAAGAATGATGAATGATCAATTGTCTGTGGTCAACCAATGATTAAGCAATTCAATATGATGAATGATAAATGATGAATGATGAATGATGAATGATGAATGATGAATAATGAATGATGAATGATGAATGATGAATGATGAATGATGAATAATGTATGATGGATGATGGATGATAAATGATGAATGATGAATGATGAATAATGAATGATGGATGATGAATGATGAATGATGGATGATGAATGATGAATTATCTAGATGTACTGTGCTCCTGTACCCCTGAATCTGATCTATCTGAAGCTAAGAAAGATTAAGAATAAACTACCTTCTCCTTCCTTCTCCCCTATACCGTCTCTAGGAATATATAATTTACTATCAACAATACTTTTATGAAAACATTAAAGGGACTGTAAGCGTAATTTCAAGTGACCCTTCATGCACTAATGGCAATGCCCGGTTTTGTAACGGTTCCCTTGAAACCTTCCTCTGAACAATAATGTGGAAGATATTGTCGTTTTTAAAAGTTTAAAAGTGTAATGATAATACATGTTTTCTTGCAGTAGAAATGCGCAAGTCACTATTGTAATTATAAACATTGATATCTAATTCATATTTGATCAAACAACGTTTTTAAAAGGGCCCCGTTGTGAATCGGTCATTTTCATATTTACATGGAGGGTCAGTTAAAATTACGCGTACAGTTGATTTAAATGCTTATATATTATATCCGTTAAAACGCTTGTAACTGTTTATTTTTTTGTCTGCAAGCTGTTTCATATTAAATATTACCTTGCGGAAGTAGAGAAAATAAACATTTTATTAGATATTGACATAAATATTCAATAATCTGGGACTTCCAATTTGTAAAATATTTCAAAATATCCAAACAATTTGGATAGTGTCCAAAAGTGAACTCTCCAGTTCTTTGTAGGGCTCGACAAACAGCAGAAACCGTTATTCTTTAAATAGTTAACGAATAGCAGAAACTGTTATCTTTTAAATAGTTAACGAACAGCAGAAACCGTCCTTGACCAACAAATTATGGTTTATAAAAAGAAAAAACAGATGTGTTTCAAAATAACGGAGATTTTAATTTTTCAACTTAAAATTGCATGAAACTTACTGAAAATCAAAAAATGATGTGTTCTGGTGCTTTTTACATGTTTTTATGTTTCTTAATATTGTCTTAATAATTTTATTGTTAACGGCAAAAAATATATTTTGTTTACGTTGTTTATAAAATTGAGTTGTAAACAAACAAAACTTTTATAAAATGTTAAATGAAATAAACAGAATGTTAAGCTCTTAGCTCAAGAACGAACGGCTAACAGAGAAGTTGTTTTTGAATGATTTTAACTAACCGTTAGCACAGGGCTTGTAAAAAGTTTGAGAGTGCCCAGCCCTAGTTCTTGACATTCAATTTTCAATTTTTAAAAGTTTCACAAGTTACAACCTGAAGACAGAAAATAATTTAAAAAACTTTTGAGATTGGCATATTTTGAGATTTTATTCGAATAATTTTATTTTTTATGTTCTGAAAATTGGAATTTCATTATATACGCGAACGCGCAGGACTGAAAGTCAGCATGGAGGGACCAACGTTTATAATTCCAGTCTCTAGAGATACTCAAGATACAATATCTGTCTATTCAGGTAACATAGATAAATATTACAATTACAAAAGTTTGAACGGACAGTATGTCTTAATTCAGTTTAGAAATTGAAAATAACTTTGTGTGAAAAATGATGGTTCATTTATGAAAAAAATCTTTAAAAAATGAAGGAAAAGTGTTTATTTGTTTAATTTTAACGTTTTTTTTTAGGACGAACAACGATTGAAAACTTCAAATGCGAAGACAGGTTAATTGTTAAGAACAAAACACAAAGTTTAATTATTTTTTTCTTCCATAAGTAGTATTTTTTTAGGTATCAAAGCATTCTGGTGGACACTGTTGGAGCTCAAGATAAAATGTGCATATTTGACATGAATGTTTACAGTATAAAATGAATATATATGAATGTAGGATTCTGTATTGATTCTGATGTTCTGGTTGGATACGATACAGAACATATTCTAGCTCCTCAGATTCATTGGCAGATAGCAGGCTCCTTGAACACCTTTCAGGTTCGCTATATCTTTCCAAAAGTAATAATATCATAAATTGAGTCTAAAGGTCGTCTTCCCTTTTCCAGAGTTTTCTTGTTTTCACTGTAATTATTTATTTTGTTTAGATTGAGATTATAGAAATGAGTGGAGAGGAGCGTTCTGGTTCTCCAGGTGCTTTGGCAGATCATGTACCCCTTCTTAAACTACATGTTCAGGTACAGACAGATCATGTCCCCTTCTTAAACTACATCTTCAGGTACATACAGATCATGTCCCCTTCTTAAACTACATGTTCAGGTACATACAGATCATGTCCCCTTCTTAAACTACATCTTCAGGTACATAAAGAATATGTACGCCTTCTTAAACTTCAAGTAAATTAAATGTACCCCTTCTTAAACTAGATGTACAGGTACATACAGATCACGTACCACTTCTTAAAATACATATACAGGTACATATATATTATGTACCCCTTCTTAAACTTCATGTAACATACAGATCATGTAACCCTTCTTAAACTATATGTTCAGATACATACAGATCATGTACCATCTCCTTAAAATACATTTACAGGTACATACAGATCATGTACCATTTCTTAAACTTCATGTACAAGAACAAACAGATCATATGCCCCTTCTTAAACTACTTATAAAGGTACATATAGATCATGTACCTCTTCTTAAACTTCATATACAGGTACATACAGAATATTTACCCAGACTTTAACTACACATACAAGTCAAAATGATCATGTCCTCCGACTTTAGCTACATTTACAGGTACATTCAAATCATGTACCCCGACTTTAACTACATGTACATTGTACAGTATACAGGTGTAGAAGTTGTTCAATTATCCATACCTATACTTTTGTTATGTTTATTGATTCCGATCATAGATTATAAAATTATTTAGATGTTTGATAAGTAAACAGAATGATTAAAACCCATATATTGGGCCGAACTTTGGGCAACAAGAACAGGTTGTACTGTTGACAAACATAGCTGGAAACTCTTGAACTGTGGATATAAATACTTGATCTTGATCTTTTGTTAATCTGCAGATTAATGTAATCTTTATTCGATATCCAGCATGGAGGTCATTCCTTTGAAAACATATCCATACACTGGATATTGTGATCAAATTATTTTGATTTTGAGTATATAGGACCGTGCACTGGATTAATTATTCAGTTGAATTATGCCCTTTTAGTGATATTAATATAAGCTATGTGTAGGGTATAGATGGTGAGGTAGAACTGACCCAAGGACGGATATTGAAAGCCCAGCTCCGGGTCGAATCTTTAAACCTAGAAGATAGAGATCTAGAGGCACCAAACCCAAGGTAATTTAACATTTTATTTAAAGCGAGTGTTTGTAAAAAAAATAAAAGGAGATAATTGCTGAATCTGAATTGAATCTGAAATCAATTGAATTGAACTGCTATATCTATAACGTCTGTAATAGGGAAATGGTTGAAAGCTCATTAATGCGGCTACGTCTATGTAATTTATGGAGTAGCAATATCCCAGTCCATTTTATTTGAAAATCCGATTTTTTAAAATAAATAAAATAAAAGAAGACAACTTTCTTTTAATATAATTTATATTTAGTATTTTGATCACCCGGGATGAATCAAATTTCTTCCAACTTGAGTACATCTCAAACCAAAGCCCTGATATCTGTTGTACTCCAAACCTAAACTTGAACCTGAACCAGACCCCGGAGAATCCTGCTGAATCCAGGTTGAATTCAAGGTTAGGTTCAAAGTAAGCAATCATTGATTTATGAATTATGAATACAAGACAGGATTACTCAAAAAGAATGAAATTTTAGATATGACTGTACATAATTTGTGTATGATTAAAATTATATCAAAATTAAAATAACCCAACCAAATAAATCATTAAACTTTAGACTACATAATCTATGTAAGACTAGCTGGAAGGCCCGGCGTTGCCCGTAGAAAAAAATTAAAAATTTTGAAAAAAAAATAACATTTTTTTAAGCCTATAACACCCCCCGGCCACCTCTGATTGTCCACAAAAAATTTCAGCCCAATCGGTCCAGCCGTTTGGCCGGCTATAGGCAACATATATATATATGAATGTCTTGTTTTATTTTATAGATTAAAATTACATCAAAATTTAAATAACTCAACCAAAAAAATCATTAAACTTTTTGTCTTACTAGAATAGGGCCTGGTAGGTTAAAATAATTAATATTTTGTTATTTTAACTTCTTTCAAATATTATAGATTGAAGATAACAGTCCGGCTGGATACCCTACACATCTATCCTTATACCCTAGTCAAACTTTATCATCTTGCTTCACAAACCCTGGAGCAAGGAGGACAATTAGATTCAGATAGCGTCAACTCATCTATTCAGACAGAGGTATAGTTACTAAAAAATATATTGTACTAGCTCGACGCTGCGTTTGAATTTGTTTTTAATTTAAAAAAAAAATTTATTTAAATTAAAACAAAATGTTAAGATTTATAAACTTGTGAGATATCCCTATGTATAAAGGATTTTTTATTAAGTTTTTTTTAGACATTTGTGTGCTGGGTTTTGAAACAGAAAAGATTCAAAGAAAAAAGCGTTAAATAAAATGAAAAGATGACAATGCCCAATTCACAACTGAAAGCTTTGTCCAATCAAGTATGAATTAGATATACAGAGTGTCCCACGAAACATGACAGTGGGTGAATAGTTTACAATGTCTTCTTCCATAATTTGTTAAGTTGTTTAGAACCAAATACAATAATAAAAATAATATATGGGAGTCATGTTATAGTAAAATTGATTTCAAAGTAAAATATATTTAAGCAACAGAATTTTTTAACGAAATAAGCTTATAAAAGCCTTATACTAAATACAATATATATGGAAGACGACATTCATAAAATTTATCAACTGTCATGTTTCGTTAAATATTAATCATTTTGAAAGCAGATTATTTTCAAATATTCTCTGCGAAAGGTTTAAAAATAATGATTTCAAGGGTACCGTTTTGAATCAGAGATTACCAGAGAGGGCCACTTGAAAATACACTTACAGTCCCTGAGAATCTTTAAAAACAGACTAAAAAGGCACTAATTAATATTTACTTGAATTCTGGAAATACATCTGGTATATCTAGTAGTGGTAGTAGTGGATATCAGACTAATTATTTTATATCCAGGATAGTTTATCTGGAAATGTATCTGGTATATCTACTAGTGGTAGTTGTGGATATCAGACTAATTATATTATATCCAGGATAGTTTATCTGGAAATATATCTGGTACATCTACTAGTGGTAGTAAATAAATAAATAAATAAATATTTTATTAGGCACATAATTATACATTTACAAGGGTTAAAAACACATTGATGAATTCTATGATTATTACAGTGCCGGGAAACCCGGAGAGCTCAATATCTGGCTGTCTGGTCCAGGTCCCTGAAAACTTTAGATTTATGCGGCGTATGATACGNGTGGTAGTAGTGGATACCAAACTAATCATCTATCTCCAAATATTGTCAGAAGAAAAAAACAGGTTTAACCAAGCTTACAAGTTGTTTAGCTGATGAACAGTGAGAACCAAAAACAGTGGATAAAAAGACAACTTCAAGACAGCTATGTTTTTTAAAAGTCCAATAAATAGAATATAAGCAGACCCAATTTATGTAATTAGTGAAGTTCAAGCTACTAATTGCCTTATGACAACATAAAATACACTTCTTTTTCCACAGTTTTCTGGTTCTCAATTTAGAGATTAATTTCTTTTTGAAAATGGAGAAAATTTCATTCAAATTAAACATTTTAAATGATTTCTTTTTAAAACTGTCTAATATAAGTGAATCAACCATAAAAGAATTTATTTTTAAACATGATTAGGATAAGATAAAATAATAATAAAATAATGAAATAAAATATATTCAACAAAATTTGTCTCCACAAAATAAACAATTAAATTTGAAATCACATTAAAACCTTAATTTACCGGGAGTTAAAATTTATAGTTATGATTTGAAACCCATTTTCTTGTTTTGATCCTTCAATAAAATTTTTTATTGCAAAAAAGTTATTAAAATAGTTTCAGATTGAAAGAATTGATGTTGCTGTAAAAGAATTCAAACTTGTAGTTCACTCTACCAACAAGTACAGGTAATACTTAAATACGATATTGGGAATTTCTAAGTTTTCTGTTTGAAAGAAAACAAAAATTATTTTGAACTCTCATTTACTTGATTTTTGATAATTAAAACTTAACAATTATAATACAAACAATACTAAAAATAAACCATACAAATTTTCTTTAAATGTTTAAATGAAATAATTGTTAAGATTTTCAAGACAACTAAACAGATATGCATTGCTTTCCTATACAGGGAATATGTGATTTACATTCTATTTCATATGTTTCCACACAATCTTTAATATTTATATCTATTTATTTTATATATCACACATTTTTTCCAGGAATGATATTTTTGTTGTTCCTATCTCCTTGGAATTTTCCTCAAACACAGAACCAGGTCATTTAAAAGAGGACAAGAGACAAAATAAGAAGGACAAGAAGCAAGGAAAGCAGGACAAGGAGGACAGTGAACAAGGACAAGAACAGTTATCTATTGTGTTTGGAAACCTTGTACTCTACACAGACGGAAGATATAGTATGGTAATTGTTTGGAAATATACTCTATAAAAACTCAAACTACTGACACAATATTTAACAGTTAAAACTCTGGTTGAGTTTTAATACTCCTGCGTGTCCGGATTTAATGAATTTGAGCAGCGTCTTAAATCCGCCAAAAACCGGTTTCAATTGAGCGCCGGCTTAAATCTTGAAACATTGAGTACAATTTTAAGTGAAACCAACCATATTTGAGCGGCGGCTTAAATTTAAGCCGCCGCTCAAATTCTTTAAAGAAAAGTTTACTGTAAAAAGTGTCTAGTTGTAATTAAACTACTATGCTAAAGTTCCCATCACATCAAAATTACAGTATCAAAAGTCTCTGTTTTTGTCTTAAAAAAATGGCTTTACTGTACTCTAGGTGTGTACTGGATTTGACATTCTTTGGCGTCAATGTGTACTTAATAACCTAGGTTCAAGTTTACACATATCAGCTGCTGAACTACGGGTCAACACAACAATAGGACAGGTGAGGTTCATGGAAAAATAGTACGACGGAGAGGAAAATGGGCTTGTTTATATTCTACATATTAAGACAGCTCTATTTTTTATAATAAAAGATTCCAATGTTTGTTAAACAACAATTGTTAAGACCCGGAACTACCCTGCTGGTAAGAATTATTGCAATTAGACTAATTCCTAAGGTTTCATGAATGTAAACAAATCCTATCCCCCTATCCTTATATCTACAATCAATAATCATGTGGTTCATGTAGCCGCACTGATTTTTTCTAGATTAATTGTACCTCTTGAAAATGTTTTGATTAAGGTTGAGAAAATTGAGTTAAAACTTTATGCTTGATGTGCGCATATTTCAATTAGCATTGCTTTGTATGGAAAAAATCAATATTTTAAAAATTATTTTAGGCTCTTCAAATGTTTGTCACCAATCTGAGTATTCCTGAGCCTCAATCTGAGCCTTTATCTTCAGATTTGTGGACCTGCAAAAAACTAGCAAAAATTTCAGGAAAACATTGCTTTTGTTTTTGACTTTATTAGGCTGAAGAGTAAAATTTTACTATCATCTTCAAATTATTATCTTTAAATATCACAAAAGATCAAATCTTTTTAAAGCAATAATTATTCAGACCGGAAACCCCAAAATGGAGTTTTTCAGTACTTTCTTCCAAATTTTGAGTTCTGGTTCAAGCTCAGGAATTAAATCAAAACATTTTATTCAAAAATATAAATTTTGTAAGAAAAATTCTGTTGGATGATTCTATTAAGAGAATCAAGTTGATCAGTGACCAGATTTAATAAAAAGCAAGACATGGTCGAACCATGAAGTTGGTTTAACCACTTTTGTTCAACTGGTGCTCAAGAGAGAGGTGGTTGAACTATGTCTGCATGGTTCAGCTACTTCCCACTATTCATGGAATTCGACCTCAGGACAAGAATTATTGCTAATAAAAAAGAAGTGTTTTGATTTAAAACTATTACGTACAGAGGAATACATGAATTCCAGATGAATGAAGTGACAATACTTCTGTCAGGAAAATATGTACTTTCACTAAGAACATGAAGATTCTGTAATTTACAACAGCAAAGAAGCATTTATTTTTAGAAATTATTTTTCTTTAATCCTTTGAAGTGTCAAAACAAAACAAAAACTTTTCTTTTGACAAATTTTTGCATTAAACAATGCCACAGCACATCTGGCCTAAATTCCCCCAAATGAAAGCAAAAGCATACTTAAAGACATACTTTGTTAAAAGCTGACTCAATAGAAGTTCAAACTTTAAACCTACAAAATCCAAAAGTTTTAGTTAAAAATAAAAAGTAAATCTGTGTGGCATCTCAAAGAAAAACTTTAAATTGATAAATGTGAAAATTTAATAATTTAATTATTTAATTAATTTCTTGCAATCAACGGAAAAAACCTTTAATTTTTTTCAAGTCTGTATATCTTAAACATTAGGGCGGACTGGGCCTCCTGCTGTAGCAATCAGATTAAATACAAACCTGGAGATAAATACGTGCAAACATAAATCAGGCGTTTCAGGTAATCCAGAATTGGAATATTTGAATTTTGTGAAAGCTCAGTTTAGTTGAAAAAAACTGGTTAAATTTCATCGAATATCAGAAATTAAACAATTATTTAGATGAGCTCCAAAGTCAAGGCAATAGAAAACTTATGATCAGTTAAAAAACCAAGGAATACAAATTTGTAATCATATAAGTTATAAAAATTGCAATCAAAAAACATTCAAGCAACCAAATAGACCATGCATAACTATTAAAATCAATTAGTTGTATAACTAAAGGAGAAATTTGGTGAGATGAGAAAAATAAATAGCTGTGATTGGTTGGAATAAAAATTCGTGTTATTGGTTAAAATAGCTTCATAATAATGACGACCTGTTCTAGGATGCATTCAGATGCAGGCAATATGTTTCAATCCCAAACTAAATTGTTGGGACAGGATGCTTGAGTCGGACAACTCTGATCAGCGTATGGTTTGTCTCAACTTGAGTCTGGGGAACTCTCTTATCAATCCATCAGACTTAGAGGAGATTCCAGCAAACATTGTAGGTAAATAAAAAGTTATGAAGTTTCTATACCAATTTTTCACTAGAGGCTGTCCATTGACAACAGATTAAAAACCGCTGAAGTCAATGAGAGCTTAGCTAAGGAGAGAGTGAAAGGGGTTTATACATTTACAGTGATAACCAGAAAACTCTGGAATAGGAAGAAAACTTTTAGACACAAATTATGACTTTAAATAGTCAGATGAGCATGAGAAACGTAAATTGTGCACTGTAAATAGACCCAGATCACTTAATTATTGCTTTAATGTCGTCTTCCAGAGTTTTCTGGTTCTCACAGTACATGGCAATGGGACAGCTTGCGGGAATTTAAATTAAAACAAAGCAGAGTCGGAGGGTCAGGCCTGATGAAGCCATCATAGTTTACTGAATATTGGCTCTTTGTTTACAATATCTACATTAAAAAAGTTTTTGGAATGTCATTATAATTCATACTAGAATGTAAGCAGACAATATTCATATAACAGTTTATACTCGTAAGTTTTAAGCTGTAATACATTTTTTCTCTTTTTTTGAGCATTTTGAAGAAAAAACTGTTATCCCACCTTGAGCAAAAATCAATTTTATAAAAATAAAATATAATGAGCTACCTACAGTCTAAACATTGATGTATTTCAGGTTGTCAGAATATATCTGAACTGGAGAAAAGAATTGATCTCTCTCCGGGAGAAAAACTTCGAAGTATGTTTGAGAACTGTTTACTTTCTGATCCTCTATCTCAAGAAGAAATGAGAAGTTCTCAGGAATGCTCTCAGGTAAAACAGAGTTAATCTCAGAGAATTCAGAGATGACTGTACAGAAATATTCAGTCTTTTTTCTTGCATTGATGGTTCCCTGCACCATTGAACTTTTTGCTTTCTTTGGTAAATGTACAAAAGACTGAAATCAAGTCTAAAGACCAACTTTAATCTTCTGATCATCAACATTAAACAGTTTTGGGTGTAATTAAAGCCTCATATTATACTACCGGTAACTCTAGCTCTATGTCATTACTTGCTGCTTGCATAAAGTTGAAAAACAAATGTAATGAAACCTTAAGACACTTTTTAAATAAGTTTTTCATGCAAGACCAATTTTTAAGGAAATTGGTGTTCAGGATTCTGATGAGGAGTGTAGTTTAAAGGAGGACTTTGCAGAGGACACAGAAGATGATCTTGTCCTAGCTTTAGCTTGCCAGGACAATATTCAGATCAACCTAACAGGTGAGGACTCAAAGCAGGATCTTGTCCTAGCTTTAGCTTGCCAGGACAATATTCAGATCAACCTAACAGGTGAGGACTCAAAGCAGGATCTTGTCCTAGCTTTAGCTTGTCAGGACAATATTCAGATCAATCTAACAGGACTTAAAGCAGGATCTTGTTGTATGCTTCAATGGACTGTCCTAATTTAAAGTGACCTCCATTTACAGAGGGGCATCTCCAATTCACAACAGTACCTATTAAACCTTTATCTGATGATGTAGAAGACATAGTTGTTTTTAAGTGTTTAATTTTTAAAATATGCAAAAATGTGCAACTTACTTTAAACCAAAATTGTGAAAAATTCTAAGTAATCCTATTTATGAGTTACATGCCTGATTCACAATGGTACAATGTAAGCTGTATTTGAGGAACAATTTAGGGTAATCCGTTAAATAAAAGCTTTAAATGGTTCTGTTGCATAGACATGGGCATTTTCAGTCACTTTAAGTGCATTTGATTTAGAGCATGTTGTACATACTATTTCTGGAATAGTAAAGGGATATTCTCCAGCCAGGACAATCAAAACAGGAATACATGTGAGAAACTTCCTAGGAGTACAACTCGAGGCAGAGTACATAGAAATTCAGGTATGGGGAAATAGATTTCCAAGTACAATAGGTGGCAATAGAGAAATGGACCAATTATACACGACTTCACAAGTGTCAAATATAACAAGGAAATCGAAATTTTCTCACAGTAGTTGACATGTTTTCCAAGATTAAACAAAAAAAGTGTAAAAGCAGAAAATGAAGAACACATTAAATTGCACTTATTTTACTGTAAGATATGCACTTTATTCTAAAATTATCACTATTAATGACAATTTTGTCGGACACAGAAACTGAATTGACACTTGTGACGTCAGAATGCAGCTGTTACAGAGAGTGAAAAATTTCTATGTTGCCATCTATTGTACTAGAATTTATTTGGGTACAGAAGTTTAGGTAAATGTGGAGTACCCAAATGCAGGGGGAGTATTTACAAATAATCTTTACGGAATTTAGGTAGAGAGGGGGGGGGGGTGTAGTTGATTCAAACAGCTCAGAAAAGTTCATCAATTATTAGTTTAAGACTAGGTTGACTTTAAAGTGAAGTTTTATTTCCATATTCTCGTCTCCAGAACTACAGATTTGCAGATTTTATTCAATTTTATTGGTGGATTTATTTCTTGACGAGGAATAATATTTGACATTTTTTCTTCATTCATGTTGAACTTAATATTTTTTGTGAAGGATGGGAAAACTAGAGTTTTAAAGTATAGTAAAGTTTTTTTTCCATATTCTTGTCTCCAGAACTACAGATTTACAGATTTTATTTAATTTTTATGGTAGATTTATTCCTTGACGAGGAATAATATTTGTCATTTTTTTCTTCATTTATGTTGAAACTAAATATATTTTTTGTTAAGGATGGGAAAACTAGAGTTTTGGCAACTTTTGAAGATTCTCCTGAACAACATGAAAACACCTCTTCCGAGTAGAATATTATTATTATTATTATTATTATTATTATTATTATTATTATTATTATTATTATTATTATTATTATTATTATTATTATTATTATTATTATTATTATTATTATTATTATTGTCATTTTTATTATCATTATTATTATTTTATTATTATAATTACTAGTGATGAGGAACAGTATGATGATCTGCTGCTTCCTTGGTCCAGATTAATCAGTATTCCTGCTTCAAGGTATTACGTAAAAATTTATATTTAATTATTTTTCTGACCCAGAGTAATTTTAAAATTATTTGGGGTAGTCAGAATCATTTAATTAATAACATTAATTTAATTAATTTTGAAAAATAAACTTTTCAAATATGTCTAATAAAGTAATATTATAATTTTAGATTGAATGCTTTGAATTTTAATTTAAATAATCCTCTAAATAAATGAGTGTCATAAAAGATTATTTGTAAACAGTTTCTAACTTAATCTAAGCGAAGAGTGTCTAAAAAGTTTTAATTTCCTTTATTTTCCCTAAATAATGTTTCCAAATTTTTGTTCAATCTCTTTCGCGAAAATTTTGTTCAGCCAACGAAAATGTGAACGAAAACGAAAATTTTCGTCGAATTGAATTTGCAAAATTCGTTCAAAATTTTTGCAAACTTCGTTAAAATTTTCGACCTTTCGTTCAAAATCTTATTTTTTTTGCAAAAATACAATCTTCTTAATGGGAAATGGAAACATTTTGATTTTTATCGAACGAAAATTAAACGAAACTTTTGCGAAAAGTAAAATTTTCGTGATAATGAAGTCGAAAATACATTGAAATTTGCGAAAATTTTGAAAGAAAATTAACAAATTTAGTTCGGTCATTTTCGCAAATTCCGTTCAAAATTTTCGATGGAAGCCCTTCCTATGAACAATTAAATTTTATTAGGTTTCGAGGATTTGAAGAATGTAGTAAAGACGATCTTCATGAATTAACCAACCTAATTACATCTCATACATTCAAACTTAAGATAAACGGTAATTTTGCTTTTTTACTTAGATTAGCAATCATATGCTAAGATATGGCAAAACTACAACCACGTTGTTCAGGGTTTGAGCCGATTGAGCTATTGGTCCCCCGACATTCCTGCTCAACCCTAATCCATCTTAATCCCCTTAAAAAAATCCAACCCGTTCCTAGCCTGTCTCCGACCTACACCCTGAGACTGAGTTCCTGGTTCTCTGACGAGGTTCAAGAGCTCAGGCTGTCATCAGTCCTTAAGCTGAGAAATCAGACGGATTTAAATCTAGTGATCTACGTCCAGTCTGAGGATCAACTCTGGGTTCAGGTAGAAAATAACCCTATATAGGCCTACATAGAATTTGAAAATTCGTCATTACTTTTGAAATTATCTTCAGATTTTAATAGTATAATGATTTGTTTTTCATTAAAAGATGTTTTTTCTAGAGTTTAAAAACTGGTCAAGATAATCCGTTTGGGAGTTTGATTCGTCTAGCTGAGCTTGCCCCTGGAGATCTGTACTCTGTCCCGCTCTTCCTGGCTGCGCAGGCGCAGTTCTACATCAAACCAGCACTATCAAGGTAAGGTTTTTATGAACCTAGTGATAAAAAGGTAAATTTTGATTCTTATTTGTTGCCTTTAATATGATTGTGTATTTAGCATCACTGCTCTAGATGTATCGTAAAGTGTACAAATCTACCGCATGCTTTATATGTATACATTCATTATTGTTCTACTCTACCACATGCTTTATATGTATACATTCATTATTGTACTACTCTACCGCATGCTTTATATGTATACATTCATTATTGTACTTCTCTACCACATGCTTTATATGTATACATTCATTATTGTACTACTCTACCACATGCTTTATATGTATACATTCATTATTGTACTACTCTACCACATGCTTTATATGTATACATTCATTATTGTACTACTCTACCACATGATTTATATGTATACATCCATTATTGTACTTTCCCAATTTACAATGTCATAAGGGTAGCTTTAAAAGTAAATAATTCCCAATTTTTGTTTTCCCAATTGCTACTTTCCCAAAATGCATTATTCTTGATGCCATAAAGATGACATAGATAGTAGATTTATTTAAACAAATTTAAACTACACCATTTATATATGAATTTTCATATTTGTGTGTGAATAAATCTTTATGTATATATAACTTTAGTCAATGAAAGGTTCGGCTGTTGGTATGGAATTGTCCTGTGTCAAACTTTTAAATATTTCAGAAAGATTTACTTTTAAAAAATAACTAAAATTCACATCACCAGCTAGTTGGCATTAATATAAATGGATCTAGAAAGCAAGAGAATCTTTTAAAAATATCAATTAACTTTTTTTGTGGGGGGGGGGTTGAAATATATGCTTAGATTTTTAAACATATTTGTTAATTCTATTAAGGTTCAGCATGAGTGAAGATTTCTTCAGTCTGAACACTGTAGAGTTTGAGGAGGTTGATATTGTCTCAAGGTCGTCTTCTACACAGAACCCAGAGCAATTGGCATTTAAGGTAAACTATAGAGTCAAGGGAGTGATTTAGTGTACTGTCCTGTTTTGCCTCCTATAGGCCTCTACTTTTCTTCAACTAACTTCAGAAGACTAATAAGCGATTTTGATACCAAGCAAGGCTACCCAGGCCTGATGAATCCCAATTTTTATAAGGCATTACTCGTAATCAAAAATTGAAACTACACTGTATAAAATATACTTATTCACTGTACATATTCCAGTCAGATTAGAGTGTATGAATTATCATCATCCTTCTTATATATTTGATTAATGATTAGGTGGCAGGAGAAAGAAGTGTTGAAGAAATAGTTCTCTGTATTAAACCATTCTGCAGAATATTTAATCGTCTTCCTGGGATTCTAACCTTACTCAGCAAAGGACAGGTGAATATTTGCAAAAAGTGTACACACAGTGATTCAAAGGTTCCAAGCTTTCACGATGAGATATTTGCCAATTATTTCTCTTAAATACTAAATTACAGTTCTAAAAATTACATATTCTAAAAACTACAAAAAGTATCAGGGAGTCTTTTTATAGTCTGGATCTATGTACTATAGTGTGTACACTGTACAAAGAGAAGCAGAAAATTCTGGACTAAATGTCATCTTTCTTTTTCTTTTTTCTTGAGGAATATTGCTAATGATTTTGTATTTTACAATTGTTGTAATTGAATTTATATCTAAAAATGTTTAGAGAAATTTTGAGAAACAATTCAGTTTAGAAATTACAATTAATCAATGAGAAAAGAAATTTTGTTTTTTCCCTTAAAATTGTAATGTGTTGAGAAAGTCTTGTTTTACACTAATAATATACTTTTAGGTATTCTTAATAATTGGTTCTTGATTTCTCGCATTTTAACAATAAGTTTTTTTTAATTCATAAAAACTTTTTGTAAGGGGCTTAGTAAAAGGTTACATTTTTGGTGAACAAAAAAAAAATAAAATAAAATGTAAAATTTTTGTTTGGTTCTTTCGCTTTGCAAGGTAAATACAAACAGTTTCTATCTACACTCTTTTAAACAGATATTTTTTAGAATGAATTATTGATTGAGCAGAACTCTGATATCTGTGTTTATCAAGATATAACGTCCTTATCATCAATTCAGATTAAGGTAATAAACCTTAATCTTTTTACCTTAATATCCTTACCTTAATATCCTTACCTTAATCTGGAGATTAAGGTAATAAACCTTAATCTTCTTACCTTAATATTCTTACCTTAATCTGGAGATTAAGGTAATAAACCTTAATCTTCTCACCTTAATCTCATTACCTTAATCTGGAGATTAAGGTAATAAACTTTAATCTCCTTACCTTAATCTTGAGATAAAGATAATGAACCTTAATCTCCTTACCTTAATCTGGAAATTAAGGTAATAAAACTTAATCTCCTTACATTAATCTAGGGATTAAGGTAATAAACCTTCATCTTAATCTTCAGATTAAGGTAATAAACTTTGATCTCCTTATCTTAATCTTGAAATTAAGGTAATATAAACCTTCATCCTAATCTTGAGATTAAGGAACTAAAATTTGCTTTTGTTGGAGCAACAGTTTTACTTCGCTAAAAATGAGGAAAATTGAACTTTAGATATTTAAAACTAAACATTTAGTTTTTAAATTTTAATTTTGGGAACTGTTCGAAATAATTTGATTAATTTGTGTCCTTTTCTTTTCCTATATTTTTTATCTATTTTACCGGCTATTCGTATTAGTCTCTCCTTGTTTTTAAAATACTAGGCTTCGCGCCCGTCTTCGATTTCAATTGGAAAATGTGAATTGTAAAACAAAACAAAAATAAGTTTGCGGATTTCATAAAAAAAATTTCGTGGATTTTCAAAATTTTCAAAACTTTAATGAAAATAGAATTGTGATGGAGGCAAATTTTTAAATTTTGATCATTCATGAACCTTCCTTGGGGCCACGTGAGGTCCCACACTAAAATTTGGCCGATCGGTTCACTCGTTTTAACGTTTATTGGCTAAAAACAAGCAAACACCCAGACAGACAAGCAATTGCAAAGTATAATAAATAGATCTATCTAGTTTTTTTCCGCTTTCCTCTTTTTGTGAATTTTTTTCTCTTTTCTTTAACCTTTCTGTGATTCTTTTCTTTTTCGTTTTTGTTTTCAATCACTCGTTCTTACGTCTTTTTATTTTTGTTTCTTTTTCTTATTTTTGTTTTTTTCTTTTCTCTCAGTTTTGTTTCTTTTCTCTAACTTTTGTCCTTTTCTGTAGTTTTATTTCCTTTTCTAGAATTGTTGTTTCCCTTCCTTAAACTTCAGTTTTTTCTCAAAATTGTGTTTCCTTCCTTCCTTATATTTTTTACATTTACGTACTTTTCTCTCCATTTAAAACATAGTTTTCTTCTCAAAATCATTATCAAGAGTTCAATTTGTAGGTGCATATGAAGAACTCTGAGTTTGAGTTTAGCAGTACACCGTGTACATGGACTGATACAGGGTACATGTTCCAGCCCTTCAGCAGTGTGCAGTACACTACCCGCGAGGGGGATTTGTACTTTGCGTCTAAATATGTACTAGAGAATAGGACAGGGATTCCTGTCTTTATTAAGGTATTTTTATTAAACATTTCTCAAGGTGGGGGGGCAATCTCACACACATAGTTATTTCAAAACTTTTCATCAGAGCATTATAGTCTATTGCAGTTTACACTTTTTGCAGAGATTTTTTCTAAATTTACTCTTGAAAACCGCAAGTCACTTTTACGGAGAACCATTATAATCAAAGAGAAGAAAAAGTTTCATTTTGCTCATATAAAGATTGTTGTAATGGTATTGTTGTGAATCGGACATGCAAAACTTTAAATGGAGGGTACCTCGAATTTGACAGATTCTTTAACACTATATTCTAAATCGTATTCTTTTGTATCAGGATGTACGTGATGTAAGTGTTGAGATTGCATCAGGTAGTGTATACATGATGCAAGCTGACCAGCTGACCCTGGCTGTATCAGCTCCAGGTAGCAGCGGGTCTCAACAGCCTGCGGGTCAACTGCCAGGAATACCGTGGGTCACAGTACACTTAGAGAATAGGGAAATTGTGATTTTAAAGATTGATGGATTTTTAAAAACTAATTTCTCACTGCAGTCTCTAATTTTCAAATCCTTTTATTTTTGCAACCTCATTTTGTATTCCTGATGGAACAACATCAGGTTGGAGAAATATTTGGATAAGAAAATTAGAGTTTTAGGCGAGTGGTCAGGTTCTTTGCTTGGCTTATTTTTATTAATAGCACCTCAATTTTACAAATGACTTTTTTGGTCTTGATCAAATAATAATATCTATATTTATTTCTAAAATGGACATACCGATATTTTTCTAAAAGATGTTGAAGATGATACATATTATTCCAATAAAAATTTGAAAAAAAGTACGAAGTTCGGAAGATTGAATCACATGACCAATCAACCAGGATAAACTGTGAAACTGTAACTCTGAGTAAAGATAAATCAATTTATCAAATTCTTGTTCACACTCAACCTAATCAATTCTACACTCAGGTAATAACAACATATATTCTTGTAATTTTTTAAAAAAGTTGAATCGAGTTCTCGCCACACACTCTGATTTACTAATCCCTATATTTTTGCAACCTTATGTCGTATACCAATTAGATATTTCAAACTATGAATTTTGTTAGATCAAATAGTCTAGGTTTTAAATATCAAAGGTGTTAACCATCAGATTGCAAAGATAGGGATTAGAAAATTGTAGACTGTTTTGAAATAGTTTCGCATATTATACAGTTTTGAAGTACTGAAAATTTGTAATCCATTTTTGGTTGATTTCTACCTTCTCTGATCGAAATGAAAAATTTGTGAGACCCCTGTAATGTATAGGGTGTTGTGAGACCCCTGTAATTTATAGGGTGTTGTGAGACCCCTGTAATGTATAGGGTGTTGTGAGACCCCTGTAATGTATAGGTTGTTGTGAGACCCCTGTGGAATGTTGTGAACAACACGAGAAAGCAGTTGGTCATCTCAGAGCTGGAGGACTCTAAAAAGAGGTATTCCACTCATTCAACTCATTCAACTCATTCAACTCATTCAACTCAATCAACTCATTCAATTCATTCAACTCATTCAACTCATTTAGCTCATTCAACTCATTCAACTGATTCCACTCACTCAATTCATTCAACTTATTCAACTCATTCAACTCACTCATTCAACTCATTCCACTCACTCAATTCATTCAACTCATTCAACTCATTCAACTCATTCAACTCATTCAATTCATTCAACTCATTCAACTCATTCAACTCATTTAACTCATTCAACTCATTTAACTCATTCAACTCATTCAACTCATTCAACTCATTCAACTCATTCAACTCATTCAACTCGTTCAATTCATTCAACTCATTCAACTTTCAACTCATTCAACTTTCAACTCATTCAACTTTCAACTCATTCAACTCATTCAATTCATTCAACTCATTCAACTCATTCAACTGCTATTAAACTTGCATAAAATTCTAGAATGGAAAGTTTGCGAATATTAAAGGGAATGTAAGCGTAAGTTTAAGTGACCCTCCAAGCAAAGATGGCAATGCCTGATTTTGATTATTTTCTCTGTATAACGGGAGTATTGCATCATTATGAGACGGTTTCTATCCGACCCTTTTCATATTTCTTTATACTTTTTTTAACGAACTTGTTCGCTACAAGAGGCGCTATAGTATACATAGTGTAGGGTTCTTTTCCCCATTGCCATAGTTCTCTGGTTACCTAGGTTGTATAACTGGAGCAAAGTATTACGTGAGTATGAGACTGTTCCTATCTGGCCGCTTCATCTTCCGGAGAATATCAGGTTCGGTCTCCAGGTTGCAAACTCAGCTGGACACCCGGTCAACTTCAGATTGCTCCAGCCTAGAACCACAGCTGTAATCAGATTAGGAGATCAGGTAAATTATAAAATTAATTTAATGATAATATTAAATTAAATGATAATAAATGAACTTAACACTGGCATCAAACTCTCAATTGTAAAATCGTTCTGTATTTGCAACCTGATGTCGCAGACTAGCTGTTGTTACATGAACAAAAAATTCTGCTAAAACTAATAGTTAAAGTTAAAGGGATTAAAAAAGCAAGTTTTTAGTTGCTTTAACTGAGATTATAAAAACTATAGGAATATGTGAAAAATACTGCAGCATTATATTGCAAAATTGCCGCCATATATCATTGAAATCAATTTATTTGCAGTAGGTTAAAGATGACTGTTATGTTAGAGTTTACTAGAGTGGTCATTGATTATATTAATACACTGTTGGTTACTGAAACGGTGATTGTAGAATTTCAATGCCTTCATTGGTATACACAACAACAACTCTACATTATTTAACATTTTAGAGCAGGATACTCTCGTAAAATATGTGTCAGTATCCGTATTATATCACCATTTCAGTAAACAATTTTGTATTGAAAAATATGCTGACCAGGGAAAACAATTTTCATTTTTCTTAAACGATATAATTTCAAGTAATCCTCCATTGAACTATATCATCTAAACCTTCTTCGGAGCAAAAAAGATATCCTTGTTTTCAAACTAAAAATTGATAAGGTTGAACTCCAAAAGAGGATTGGTGAAGGATTTACTCTAGATCTATCCTTCATGTTTAATCTATTCAAGAAAAAATGAAGTTTGAACAAGAGAAGAATGGAGAAGGATATATAGAATATATCCATCATCTTTAATCTGTTCAGGAAGGATTGAAGGTTGAACTCCAGGAGAGGATTGGAGAAGGATATATCCTTCATGTTTCATCTTTTCAGAAATGAATTGATGGTTGAACTAAAGAGGATTGATGAAGGATATATCCTTTGTGTTTAATCTGTTTAGGAAGGATTGAACGTTAAACTGGAGAGACGACTGGAGAAAGATATATCCTTCATGTTTATTCTGTTCGGGAAGGATTGAAGGTTGAACTAGAGAGGATTGGTGAAGGTTATAACCTTCATGTTTAATCTGTTTAAGAAAGATTGAAGGTTGAACTGCGAGAGAGGATTGAAGGTTAAACTAGAGAGGATTGGTGAAGGAAATATCCTTCATGTTTAATCTGTTCAGGAAGGATTGAAGGTTGAACTCCAGGAGAGGACTGGAGAAGGATTTACTCTGGAACTATCTGACCCAGATATCTCCAGTATCCCCTTTATCTTCGAGAATAGGTGCAGGGGGCTCATCATCAAGATACAACAGGCCGGGCAGAAACAGGTCTTGCTTATCCTACTCTTATTCTTCATGCTATCTTAATATTTAGTTTTTTTTAGTGCCACACTAATATTAACTAATCATTTGTTTTATTTCTTTTACCATTTTAAATTCGTTTATTATTTTTACAACAAAAAACTTCGCAGATTTTTTTATTTTGGTGAATTTTACACAACACATGTTTACAAACCCAAGACGTCTAAGTCTAAAACCATGAAATATGTAAAAATTGCAATCAAAACATTCAGCCAGAAAAAAAGTATAGAAGATGTTCCATAATTTTACGAGTAATATTCATCTTAGAATAAATTTCATTATTTTTAAAATAACTTTATAAATACAAAGGTATTTTAAATTTCTAATTTTACGAATTCTTTTTTATTTTTAGAGTTGGTTAGTTCACCCTGGGATGAGTTCTCCATACACCTGGGATAATTGGGAGCAGAGCAGACCTAGGTGTACTTGGACTATTCATGGAGTACATGGAGTACATGGAACACATGGAGTACATGGAACTGTCCAGGAACCCTCTACCATCAATGTAAAGAATGGGGAGGTATTATGCTTTACAATCGGAATTCCGATCCTAGGAACTACTGTGCAAAATTGCGCAATATTAAAGTTATGAAATTCTTATAAAAGTTTGATGTTTTTAATCTTGACACACTTGCATTGCATTGCATTGCACTGCACAAAAGAAGAAGGTCTTTATACGTAAATAATGCTAAACTACTTTGTGACATCGTAGAGGTATATCATTAAAAATATTTAAGATTTAAATCTAACGCAAGAATTATTTTAAATACATTTGACTTGTTGTTGGGTATTTAAATAGAGAAGATTAAAATGAAACAAATTAATCTGATTCAAAGGATTGTACAAGCGTAAAATAAAATGCATAGATGGCAATATCCCATTTAAAACTAAAAGCTTTAATATGAATTATTCATGTTTTTGTTTTGTTTTATTAACTGATTATTTTTGTTTTTGGTTTTTGACTTGCGCATTCTTGCTTATAAGAAACGATGCAGAAATTATCAAAACAAAACACTTTTCTTGTCAGAAAACGGCGATATCTTCCACACTTTTAATCCGATTAAGTTTTCAAGGGTACCGTTGTAAATCGAGCATTGTCATCTTTGCATGGATGGTCACTTGAAATTACCCTTATACAGTCCCTTTTAGTTTAATATTTAATTTATGTGTCTAGATATTATATGGAGAAACAAGAATTGAGCAGAGAACGAGAAAACGATCCTCAAAATCTTTTTTGGCAAATACATCTTCAGACTCTAATTCAGATTCTGATTCTGATTCTGATTCTGATTCTGATTCTGATTCTAATCAGGTAAACTTGAAGATTTTGGTTAAAGGGATGGTTGGCTTTATTTCAAGTCTCCCTTCATGTGAATAGTGCACGCGAAATTGCCGCTTTAGCGATTGTATATTTAACCAGATGCAATTGCAGCCTGACAGTCAGACCGTGTCAACCTATAGTTGCACCAGCCAGCCTTGCCTACTGTACCGTGTAACGGGCGGGGCGGTACAAACTACGACCCTAATGGTTGGTTCAGCTGAGATTCAAATGTACATGATTTGAATGTTATGCAATAAGTTGATTAGTTTTTGGTTCTTTTTTGATGATGTTTGGACTTTAAAGAGGTTCCACAAACACAAGAAATGTCACACTATGAATTCTGTTGGATATAAAAATCTAAGTTTGAAAAATCAAAGGTTTATACTCAGAGCTGAAAACTTTTGAATGTGATATCCTTAATCCCGATCTGTTAATTAATCAGGAGATTAAATTCATGAGGTTTATAAGCAATATTTAATCTGGAGATTAAGAAAAAGAGTGGATTAAGCATTAATCCTGATATCCACCATTCTAAAGTTTTCAGCTCAGATTGCATAGATTGAGGGATAAGAAAATCACACCTTGTGTCAAAGACTTAATTCCTTTTAAGAGAACATAGTTTTGAAATATTGAAACTTTTCTTTAAAGTTTTTAAAAACGAACCAAAACAATTAACAACAATACATGTAAAGAGAAACAACTGTAACCATTCAATTCTGTACTTATAGTGTTACCATAAAAAAGATGGTATGAAATAAAGGAAATCTAAAGCCTGAAAACTGATGTGAGTTAATCTACAGAGTATTGGAAAAAATGTATTTACAAGTAATAAATGAACAAATAAAATTATACTAATGAATCATGGAAAGCCGGAGCTCTCTGACGGACTCTCCGCCTTTCATTCGCCTCGTACAACGAGTTAATCTTTCGCCTTCGGACTCTTTGTGAATACTGACTCATATTTCTGTTTTAGCCCAGGCTGCTCCTATTTTCTCCTTCTAAGCCGTGGTTCATGCCTATTGGCTTGAATTCAAACTAGGATCTGGGGAAACGGTGGTTTCGGTTTCCATGCGTTCCAACATGTGTTCAAAGCATGTTTTCTGGGTTGGCATTTTCTAACGACAAATATTTCTCCAAATTGGCGACTTATCATCGGCCCCACTTTCTGTCCGACCTATAGAAAAAGAGCTAATTTACGTTGTCTTGTTTACAGGTCGGACTACTTGTACTCCGAGCATAGCTCCAGGTCTGTATGAGGACTGAAGGGTTTATATCAATAGAACTATCCACTGTGAGTTTAGCTCCGGGTTCGTATGAGAACTGAAGGGGTTACATCAATGGAACTATCCCTAATCCGAGCTCTGGTTCCGCATGAGGATTGAACTGGTTGCAAAAGTCTTATCTTGATAAGTTAGTAAGAAACAAATTCTGTCAAATTCCTTAATTGTCATTGCTTCATAAGTCCTCAGCAACTACAAAC